CTCTGAATCGATTCTCTCGCTGGATGGACTTGGGCTCGCGTTCGTGGTGTCGATAGAAAAATCCTTGCAGCGACGGTGGCCACCTGCAGGTGGCACTGACTTGCAGTGCAATTACTTGGTTCGATTAGGGCATCATTCTGCTTTGAATCGATTCCCTCGCTGAATGGACTTGGTCTGGAGTTCGTTGGTTTAATCGAAAACCTTTTGCTGATGAGGTCGACGCCTGGAGGTGGCATTGCCTTGCAATGCTGTGAAGTGGTTCGATTAGGGCATCATTTTGCTTCACATCGATTCTCTCACTGGATGGAGTTGGTCTGGAGTTCTTGGTATCGATAGAAAAACGATCCCAGCAATGGTGGCCACTTGCCGGTGGCACTGACTTGCAATGCTGTGAATTGGTTCGATTTCGGCATCATTTTGCTTTGAATCGATTCTCTCGCTGCATGGACTTGGTCAGGATCTCGTTGCTTTAATCGAAAAACTCTTGCTGATGAGGTCGCCACCTGAAGGTGTGCCACCTGCAAGTGTCGACTTGCCTTGCAATGCTGTGAATTGGTTTGATTAGGGCATCATTTTGCTTTGAATCGATTCTCTTGCTGGATGTACTTGGTCTCGAGTTTGTGGTGTCGATTGAAAAACTATACCAGGAAAGGTGAACACCTGCAGGTGGCACTACCTTGTTACACTAAGAATTGGTTCGATTAGGGCATCATTCTGCTTTGATTCGATTCTCCCGCTGCATGGACTTGGTCAGGATCTCGTTGCTTTAATCGAAAAACTCTTGCTGATGAGGTCGACACCTGCAGGTGTGCCACCTGCAAGTGTCGACTTGCCTTGCAATGCTGTGAATTGGTTTGATTAGGGCATCATTTTGCTTTGAATCGATTCTCTTGCTGGATGTACTTGGTCTCGTGTTTGTGGTGTCGATTGAAAAATGGTAACAAGTGTATTTCCTTTCCCTACCATGCAAATACTGTTCACGTGAGGCTTGGCTGAACCTACGCCGACGTCAGCCTGCTGCAATAGCGGCAAACGAATCACGCTACCCATCGTTCAACAGCACCACAAAAGCTTACCACGTGACACGTGTACTGAAAATCTCTTACTGATGAGGTGCCCACCTGAAGGTGGAATTGTCTTGCAATGCTGTTAAATCATTCGATTTGGAAATCATTCGTCATTTAATCGATATCGGAGCAGGTTGGCGTTGGTCTCGAGTTCATAGTGGATATTAGAAATCTCTTGCTGATCATGTCGCCACCTGCAGGTGGAACTGTCTGGCAATGCTGTGAATTCCTTCTATTTAAGAATTACTCGACTTTGAATTAACACTCGAGCTGGATGGACTTTGTCTGGAGTTGGTTGTGTCAATAGAAAAATTCGAACTTAACAGGTGGCCACCTGCAGGTGGCACTGTCTGGCAATATGGTAAATTCATTCGATTCAGGTGTCTATGTTTTGAAATGACATCGTATTAGGTTGGAGTTGGTCTCTTATTCGTGACGTTAGTGGGAAAACTCCTGATGGTGAGGTCGCTCCCATCATGTGGCACTGTCTGACAATGCTGTGAATTGATTCGATTTAGGTATCATTATCTCATTAAATAGATATTGTACAGAGATGGACTTTGTCTCCAGTTTGCAGCGGGTATTAGAAATGTCTTGCTGATGGGATGGCCACCTGCATGTGGGGACAATCTTACAATGCTTTGAATTCGTATGATTTAGGTATCATTCGTCATTACATGGACATCGTAGTAGGAAGGAGTTGGTTTAACATTTCTTGTTGTCGGAAGAAAAATGCTTGATGATGAGGTGGCACTCTGCTTTTGACACTGTCTTGCGATGCTTGATATAGGTGTTATTATGGTTTGAATCAAGATCGTAACAGGTTGGAGTTGGGTCTAATCTCCCGCGTATGCGCTGACAGTCAGATATTTTTCACGAAGCTCGTAAACACTCGCTGAGTAGTGCAACTGTTCTAAAAACAAACAGTTGACAGTGTGTGGAGTCCTCCTTGAGCCCCGTAAGGGATGACATAACAATTACTGAGGGAAAAACCTCCTCCCGCCTACGCTCTTTTAACACGTTGACGACCAGCCTATTTTTGCTTGTCCGCCGCGTTGGACGACGCGCATTTTTTTTTGTCAAAAAATGCGTCCGGCCATCAGGACGCATGATCCCAGAAAACATTTTTTTTGCCGAGTTTTTTTAAAATGTTGAATTTTTTGGAATTTTTATCAGTAATTACGAAATCATAATCTTCTGGAACGTTCTCAACAGTTCCAGAGGGTATTCATTGAAAAAAAATCTGCATCCTGGCATCAGGACGCATTGTCGCCAACGTGTTAAGAGCCAGCACCCCACTTTCCCTTCGCACGCCCTCTGCTCGCCGAGAAGCATCGTAAGTGGACGGACGGACGATGCCCCTGGAATCGTGTGCGACCCAGCATACAACAGCCGGACTGGACCGTGAGTGCTGTTGAGGACCATTGGTGAAGGTGGTATTCCACCAGATGACTACAACTACCAGGACGAGGACGACCCTTAGGTCCCCCATCAGCGTGAGGCTGTTCATTATTAACTAACCCCATTCACTTATCTTTGTTGTGTTATTATGTAATAAATTGTGCGCAGTGTTAAACTACGCACCTTTTATATCAACCCGGTGTCTTAAGTAACTCTAAGGAGTCAACCTTCTTGGAGTCAGTCGATAACAGATAGACGGGTCTTCTGCCGATTACAGAGGTCTCTTACGAGCTTCTCCGAACGCCGCAACCTTTCCTGATTACCTTCTGATTATCATCGCACCCAGGATTCGGACCTCCCTGTGGCCACACCAACCTACATTGGTGCCCCAACGCCGGGGGCAGCTACAAGTGAAGCAATTGTTCACTTAATATCAGAGCATTTTTTTCCAAAAAGTTGCAGAACAGCATTGGTACCAGGCCACGGAAAAATGCACTCTGTGGCACATCAGTTTTGCCATTCGTCCGGTAAAGGTTGATGGAGCCCATATTAAAGGTGGTAAAAAAAAAAATTTTGCGAATCACTGTAATCTGCATCGCTCGATAATGAACTTCTGTTACCCTGTTTCCGGATTGAATTCATAGTCCCCCCCCCCCCCTCCCCCCCCTCATAGTGGGGAACGGATAAAACACAGCTTCCAGAGGATATGCGTGATGTTAAAGATGATCCACGAAACCACCCAAGTAGAATATATCATTACCTGCCATCGATGGAAGCTCTCCTACGAGGGAGGGATACAATTTCAACCCGGTACCATTGTCTCTATTAAGTTCCTTTGATTACGCTATGCTGTACCTATATAGGCCTATTCAAAATTCGAGCTAACAACTGGTTTGAATAAATGTTTTAAAAAGCCGTTGACTTGCTGGAACCATAGGGTCAAATTCGGTTAATTAAACTATAAGGTAATCAACGGCCTTGAAGGAAGTGAATCGAAAGGCTTGAGTGACGTCGAACTGCGTCTGGATTCAGTGTCACTGGCATGGCGGTGTGCAAGGTTGCAATCCACATGGTAGAGATTGTGCTATGTGGCTGTAATCAAGCGTGTCAAACCATTGTCACAATGGTTTCTCTATTGGGTTCTTCGCTTCTTGACTTGATTTCATCTAGCTCATAACAGGCTAGATCTATGGTTTTGTTTTGTTACGTTTGACTTGAACGTCAGGCAAGTGAAACCTCGAACGCAACCGGAAAACATTATACATATGTGCAGGAATTTGATTTGCCAAGGCTAGGCTTCGGCCTGTCTGTAATGCTCTACAGCTAATGGCGAAACAAATATGAACTTAATGTTAGTCAAAGGCGTGGAAAGACCATTCAAGAAATCAATCATTCCAAAATGATGAAAATTTTCGCTATCATTTTTAATTAAAGGCGAAGAAATGTTAGCCATGGCGCTAAACAATCAGTCGATCATTTTTCAGAAGTACCACAATTCTTTCGTATACTTTGGGATTTTATTGGAATGCACAGCCCTGAGGCCTAACTTCTGAGTCCTTGTGAGCTCTTTTGGAATTTGTATTTTTGTGGTTAATGTTTCTTCATGGACAGTCAAATAGGAAAAATTCGTTTTTACATCATTTATAATTTTAAATTCAGGACTGAAAGGGTTAAATTAAATAGGCTCCACAGTAATAGGAACTATCTTTGACCAAATGCATAAAACCCTTACTTCATCAGCAATATTGCTGATATGTAGTTTTGATGATAGTAATCACCATTTTCCTTTCTGAAGCCTCTGCAAGTCATGCCCTTGTTGATATAGCTGATGGAGTCAATGTTGAAGCAGTTAACCACCCAGTTTAAAATCCCAACTGGAATATTCCAGCTCGGCCAAATCTATAAATTCGGACCATTTCCAGCTGGCAAGGAGCTGGAAAATAGTAGGTACCAGTTTTTTCTTAGCTGGAATTTTCCAACTGGAATGCAGCTGGTTTTTATAGCTGTTTCCTGCTGGAAATTTTCCAGTTGGAATTTTATAGAGGACCCTACAACTGGAATGTAGCTATATTTACAGTTGAAAATCAGCTGTTCCTGTAGATGGACCTCTGACAAAAATAGTCAACAAAAAGATTCTCATTCAGTTAGTGATATAGCAATTAGGAACAAATCTGGAGATTACTACTTTCCAGCTGTTACCCAGTTGGAATGGGTCTGAATTTACAGCTGAAGTCCAGCTGGAAATTATAGCTGTTTCCAACCAGGATTTTAAACTGGGCAGTGACAGGCTAATCACTGGTCATTGCTCCACAAGCAGCTTCTTGGCCAGAGGCATTCAAGGAATGCATTCCTTATAAATATTCATTTTGTGATAGGCACTTGGTATACTAGCTGTTCCATTATATATAAAATGGACAGTTCACTCCAACTGCATCATACAATGTAGAACATAGAAGGCATGATGTGAATTTACCTTGTATATGAGGGCTTATGTCTAACATAGCATGCCCTTATCATCTATGAATTTTATTTACATTTTCTCCTGTATATTTGATCTAACAAGGAGTGCAGATAGAGGATTTGAAGTTTGAGTTGGCACAGACCTTGTCATTTATATTGCTGGTTAGCCATGGTTCTTGTTCTGAACTGTCATCGGACACTCTGCTTAACTCTCAAGCAACATGTGAGTTTATTTTTGATCAATAGGCTACTGGTAACTGAACCACTAAAATTTTTCAAACCAATTTTCCTGAGTCCAAATGCTTACCAGTATGGCTTTAAAAATCATTTTGATAAAAGTAGCATGGTCAAGCATAAGTTTTGTGCCTTTTTTCAAAGGCCGTCACTGTTTTTCCTCTGAGTGCAAGTTCTCATGTGACTTCCTTTGATAATTTTGATTTCTTCTCTGTAAATAAAGATGATTTGTCTAGGTGTATTGATGTGCTATGTATTAAGGGAGTAAGGATGTTCCTCTCCTTCAAAACAGAGAAGTGTCTGGCCCCGTTTTATGTCTGCAGCCACAACAAAGCTGTTCATTAATGGAAAATTTGTGGAATCCCATGCCACAGATTGGATTGATGTTCATAATCCAGCCACTAATGAGGTGAGTGGGTCTTTCTTAATTTTATAATCTCACAGTTTAATATAGCAAGAAGCTTTGGGTAAATAGTGTGGTTGGTGTCAGTAAAATGAAAACAACCATGATGCGAATTGGACATTCTAGGTGGTAACACGTGTCCCAAAGTCCACTCAGGCAGAGATGGAGAAGGCAGTAGAAGCAGCAAAGGAAGCTTTCAAAAGTTGGTCCAAAACATCCATACTGACTCGTCAGCAATTGATGTTTCGCCTCCAAAATATTATCAAAGCCAATATGGTATGAAATCAAAATTTTTTATGTCCTCTCTAATAGGATCTAATTGCTCTCTGGAATTGTTACTATGACATTTCTTGTATGGTGAAATGCATTCAATTTCATTCTTGTAATAATGAGTGGTGATTTAACCATTTGCAATCCTTTGTCACACTGGGTAGACCATTGGTCATCGCATTCTATTAAAAAAATGGACTGCAAAGGGTTAAGAGTGGTACAAATGCTGGATATTGCTGAATTTTATATAAAGACTTGGAACATTTTTCCAGTGTGTCATTCACACCATATACAATCTATAATGGATTGGTGATGAGCTGCATTGATTTCCTAAGTCTCCCTCTTTATTTTGTGAATTAAGCTGAACCATTGTACTGAATATACCATCATCCAAATATCTCAGCATCTTATTCCATGATTTCTTTAACTGTGAAGAGTAGAGAAATTAAATTTGACAGTGGTAGATTGAGTACTGCATGTAAGCAAATAAGGCCTCTTAAATATGTTCATTGTTTTAGCAACCATAACATAAAAATGATTATATAATTGTCATCATTTTTATGTTATGGTTTACTCTTTGACTATAGGGAAGGTATCCAATGAAATTTGTCTTTGATGTAGCTCTTGGGCCACATATGACAAAATCAGAGCTTTATTTGAAATTATTCTTTGGTGAACATGCAATAAATGTTTAACTAAGAATGAAAAGGAGTCCACTCAGTGAAGTGTCTTTTAGAAGAATTGGCTGGCTGTTTGCTCTCCTCCCTTGCATGTGCTTCCATTTGAGACACAATATTTCCTTCCCTTGGAAGACTAGTGTAGGATATCATTTCATTAAGTGACTTTTTTATTTCATGCAATGGCAGAAAAGACTTGCAGATTCCATTACAACTGAACAAGGAAAAACAACTCCTGATGCTGAAGGAGATGTCCTTCGTGGCCTCCGTAAGTACAGCTCAGTACAGCTTCAGCTTTGCAGCTGATTCTGACTTTGGAAAAAGAAGTGTTGATCAACTTATAAACGTTTTACTGATGTTGCTCTTAAGTGTCACTTGTGATCATGTAAAATCAAGCTCTTCATATATTGAGAAGAGAGGTTGCTTTCACATATGTTTTGTATTTGTAAATTAATTTGTATAATAGCTTTGTGCATGGTATTTATATGGTGCATGCAAGGAGGTGAAGGCATATCTTCCATGAACAAGCAATATTAGGTCTATGGAGTTCTTGCTGTGATAATAGGCATTTGTTTGGAAATCACAGTACATTATATTGAAATGTTCAACTTGCAGAGGTGGTGGAGCACTGTTGCAGTGTGACATCCCTGCAACTGGGTGAGACTTTGCCAAGCATCTCCAAAGACATGGATTTACATTCTTATAGAGTTCCCCTTGGTGTTTGTGCTGGAATCACTCCTTTCAACTTCCCAGCCATGATTCCACTGTGGGTGAGTTATAACAGAATATCAATATAGTGACCTTTTACAAGAAAATGTAATTTTTCAAGTAATCCCCCCCCCCACATTCCTTAAAACAATTAAGTCCCACTGGTGCAGCTTTAGGTCAAAGGGGGAACATGTGGTATATTTCCATTCAGCACTTGAATCATCAGAAGAGAAATGATCAAGCAATACAACTTACTATCTTATATCCATTTCAAGACATCAAACTATCCCACAAATTTAATAGTGCTCATTCCTTTTCCTTAAACTTGATAGAAAGCAGCAACTTTGGAGGTCTATATTTTTTCATTTATATTAAAGAAAGTAGATATTCCAAAGAGGAGCAGAAGTCCAGGTTTTTTTTAAATAAACTGGCAGATGGAGTTTAATAACCATGTTGTTCATTGTGACTGGGCTCCTAAGGGTGTGATATATTTGTTAAAGTGAGACCAGGGCATAAAATTTCTATGAGGTGTTTCTTGACATCAGACTTCAATGAGTAAGGTGAATATATGTAAATGTCATGGTTCATCCACTTTCCTTCTAGATGTTTCCAGCTGCAATTGTTTGTGGTAACACTTATGTCATGAAACCATCTGAGCGAGACCCTGGTGCTGCAATGATTCTTATGGAACTTCTGAAAGAAGCTGGGTGTCCTGATGGAGTTGTCAATGTTATTCATGGCCAACATGAAGCTGTGAATTTCATCTGTGATCATCCAGACATCAGAGCCATTTCCTTTGTTGGTTCCGATCAGGCCGTAAGTTTCATAACCTTGTTAATTTTGTGGTATATGAATGGAGAGATGTATATACATTATTTCGTAATTGCTACATAGGGAAAGTACATTTATGAACGTGGGAGCCGAAATGGGAAGCGAGTCCAGAGCAACATGGGGGCTAAGAACCATGGAGTTATTATGCCTGATGCTAACAAAGAAAATACCCTGAATCAGCTCATTGGTGCAGCATTTGGTGCTGCAGGTCAACGTTGCATGGCCCTGTCCACTGCTGTTTTTGTTGGAGAAGCTAAGCAGTGGCTCCCAGATCTTATTGAAAGATCAAAGAAACTCAAGGTCAATGCAGGTATGAGCCATATATATTTCCACCAAATTTGGCCACTTGTGCTCTTCTGATAGCTATTCCAATTGTAGATCAATGCAGAATTCCTGCTCAATACCATGGTATCTTATTGTCTTGAAGAAAAGATACACCTTTAGTTAGGGAGGTAACAAATTTGAGTTTTTCCAATAATCCAATGTTCTATACCCAATATTAAGTTACTGGTCATTAATAACCAATATTGTGAGATCACCTCTTAAACAAAGCTAGGATTATGAATCTGAAAATGAAATTAAGGGAACTGTGATTTTTATCTCTTCTATCAATTTTTCTCTCCTGAAACTAAATTCATTGTCACACTTACTTTCATTCTCATGACTTCCTTGCTTAGGCCTTACCATGTCCTCCATAACAATTGAAAATTTCTTCTGAAAATTGGGCATAAGTGTAAAATTTGCATATAGGCCAAGTATTAGCCTGGTAAGTGCTAGGCAATTTTGATAAAATATTTTCCCCTTGTATGAGAATATTTAGGTCAAGTATGCCAACAACATCCAATTCCCATCCTTGATGGGAATTGGATCCCACTTGATCCCATGGGACGTTTGCAGACTTTGTAGGGTAAAAGTCGAGGTTAGGACCTAACATTACTCTGTGACTACCAATTACTACTGACAATACCATCAATTAGGCTTAGCAGGGTTCATTCATTTCATTGACCAAGGCTGTTGCGAAATGTCAGTTGCCTCATTTCCTACAAGGGTAGTGTGGAATATTGATTATTATAGGAGTTATCACAATACTTCATTTGTAGCATCATTAGTTTTACTGGGTTTTTTTTAGGCATTTACAAACAGAGAAGGGAAGGGCCAAAAAAATTTGCAGATGAACACTTGTGATGATAAGACTCAACTGTGCTGGGAAAATGAAAAAAAGGAACAGAACACTGAATAATAGAACTCACTTCAGCATGGGACAAGATAGAGCAAGAAACAGGTTTTTTTTCATATCATTTTCTAGCTCTCAATCCTTCTGTTACAGAATAAATGCTTAAGGATATACTTAAGATCATCATCATTATCTAAAGGCCTAAAAATTTTAATACAAGGAAATTTCTGTTCTTTTTCCCTTTATTCACATTTATCAGATATAATTTGCAATTGCATCAATGCTGCATTGATGGTTCAGATGGATGCATGGATGCCTTCAAAACTGCTGTGATTTTCTATTGATTGCATCCTTCCTATTTTGGTGGAAGCAGCAATTACTTAATTCCCACTTCAATCCTTGATTTAGCCAGGAGTAGTTATTTTGAAATGATTGATGTCTCCCAGTTGGATAACATGTAATGCCATTCAGAAGGGGTGTGCAATCAGATAAATGTGACCACCATTGTAAAAGCTCTAATTCTAACATCCATATTTGTGAAGACCAACATGTTGCCCAATGTTCAATGGATAGGACTTATATAGGATAACTTTGCTGGCATCTACATGCATACTTTGACTATCAATGGAAAAGGCACTCATTACACACACATACACATGACAATTGGATATTGGCAAAGCAAAATATCAAGTCACAGATATCATAATCCCCCATATCAGGTCCAATGCTGATATCAGTAGAATATTATTACATCCCTACAGTAGCCCTACCCCAATACAGTAAGTGTTTTAGGTTTTCCTTCCCAAAGAAGCATTTTGAACATCTGGAGGCTGAAGACATGATCAACCTGAAGATGTAGATAATGATAGACTGATGAAGTTTTGCTTAGTACTCCTTTGAAGTATTTTCCGTTGAAGCACACAATTAGTTGTTTGGAGAAATATTTTGTGAAGAAGCCCCTAGACCAAAGGTTGCTGCATATTTTCATGAATAACTTAACTTGGAAGCCATCTTTGTGTGTTTTTAGGTCATGAGCCTGAAGCAGATCTTGGCCCAGTGATTTCGCCAGCTGCAAAGCAGAAGATTTGTGAATTGATACAGTCAGGTGTAGATGAAGGTGCCCAATTGCTCCTGGATGGCAGAAATATTAAGGTTCCAAAATATGAGAAAGGAAATTTCGTTGGGCCCACTGTTCTCACCAATGTCACAGTAAGAATCTTGTTAGATTGTTATATGGTAGACCCCAAATGGCTTGTACGTTATATTGAATCATGGATGTTTCAGCCTGCAATGCGATGCTATAAGGAAGAAATCTTTGGCCCTGTGCTGGTGACAATGTGTGTGGACACTCTGGATGATGCTATACAGATTATCAATCAAAACCCCTATGGAAATGGGACAGCCATTTTTACAACCAATGGTGCAACTGCAAGAAAATTTACACAGGAAATTGATGTTGGACAGGTGAGCTCTGTTTGACCTTTGAAAGTTTTCTATTAGTCCCATGGTTTGTTTTTTTTTTTTTCAGTAAAAATTAATTTACAGGGTGCCCAAAAAGTATGGAACCATAGGCACTTCAATGTATTTTGCAGCATGTGTTCCACATGCTGTCCTTGTAATTCAAAACAAGTTTGGAGATGGTATTTCCATTCTCTTTGGATACTGTGAAGCATATTCATGTCATTGTATGAAAATAAAGTTGATAATGAAGAAAAGCAGTAAATCACCTATGGTTCCAGACTTTTTGGACACCCTGTAGATATTAAAACAATAATAATCAGTTAATCTTTTTTGCTAAAAGAACTTTGTTCAGTATTATATAAACATTCCAAGATCCTATCATGCATTTTATAGCCACATCCAGAGACTAATCATATGTAAGGTTTACTGGTACTGTTTGCTGAGTTTTGGGACTGACAAAGCTATGTGATCTTCAACCCAAAGGTGGTTCAATAACTTTGGCCTCTTATGGGTATGTTTTCAATGGCAATTTTTATAAATGGGATTTTTTGCATTGTGCATCATGTCATAGGGCTCTGTTCAAGTGGTCCAGATAGCCTTAACATGAAATGCTACTAAATTTGTGAATATTGCATTCCATACCTTTGTTCATAATCTCTATTCCCTGAATACATGAATGTATGAGAATATTAATATGGAAAAAATGCAAATCTGGAGAGAATGAATAGGACTGCTGGCATAGATGACAGCATAAGTTCTCCTGTACTGAGTATTGATCATAGATGAGCTCAAGTGTGAAGGGGAAGCTGCCAATTTTTTCAATTTTTAGATATTCTCAGTTGGACATTAAGAGATTTATACTGACTTTTCTTTCTTCAGTTAAACTTTCAGAACATGTCATGTCTGACACTTACAAATAACATTGCTTACTTTCATACTGCTGTCACCAGGACTTACACTAATTTCAGATTTCCATTTCATTTCATCCATGGACTGAAAATAATACTAAATTAAAGGGTTCCCATATATCACAGAAATGTGGCCACCAGAGAAAATGACTCACTCTTGGGGTTTGATCCAATGCTTTTCTTGATTCACTGATACATCTCTCCTAAAAGGAATTATGCAGGACTTTGGATGATGGGATTTTCAGTCAGTGCCTAAGGCTTAGTGTTGCAGTTTTTTTTTAAAGGCTAATCCATCATTTGTAATGTTCTTAAATATACACTGTGAATTAAATATGTCACTCTAGATGTCTCCTCTGAACAGAAGCAATAATTGAAGGGCTGAAAGGAAAACTGTCAGGAGAAATAATGTTTGATAAACAGAAAATGGTCTCTGTACTTGAACCATTTCTCATTCTCATTTCCACACAGTAGATTGTGAGATTCCATCAAGTGGAAAACTGGTCTTTATACAGGTGCCACTTTTCTTTGCTTGAGAGAGGACAGCCACTAAAATGTCATGATATAAGAAAGTGGTCTACTTCTGGAGATTTTAAAGCTGTGCACAATATTTTCATAGGCAACAACAATAAAATTTGATGTTGTGTGATGACCCATGTGGTTATCCAACAATTGCCCATGATGGTATTGTGCACAGCTTTAAAGCATACAAGACTTGCAAATATTTATGGCTAATAGAGCATTGGTCCCATTATAGACACAGGCATGTAATACATTGTGAAATTAATCATTAACTTGAAACACCATTCCAAAAGAAAACCCAGCAAACCAGTAGAGAGGCAGCAGATGGGATAAACCCTTCCATTTTTCTTCAATCACCTTATCGAAACTCCTGTAAGAGTTGTCATTTATTATATACTGTATCAAAGGAAACAATGAGACCTTTCCAATTATAAAATTAGTTGTGATCAATGCACAAAATTTTTATCGACTAATGAGGAAGGGGGGGGCAACATCCATCTTAGAAAGTTGAGGGAGAGCTATTGTTTCATTTTATTTCTTGGAATGACATATTATTAACTTTCTGCACCTAAATGACTAAAGGTGCAACCCATATACCTCATGTATGGGACCATTACCAAGCTAATGATGCTGTGTCCTATGGACTTCTAGATTGGAGTGAATGTCCCAATTCCAGTACCCCTGCCTATGTTTTCCTTCACTGGCTCCAGGGGATCATTCATGGGTGATTCCAACTTCTATGGGAAGGCAGTAAGTTTGTTTTCAATGAATGATTCAGGGTCTGTCATCTCTGTCAAAGCACATCTTGACTGACTTCATGCCTTTTCTCTCAGGGGTTGAATTTCTACACTCAGTGGAAGACCGTGACTCAGCTATGGCGTGAAGGTGATGTGTCACATTCTCGGGCTGCTGTGGCCATGCCTGTCATGCAGTGAAATGGTGTACTGCTGCTTGATGTATGAATGCACCTTTGGGCATTGTTCCGTTGTGATTATAGCATGTTGCTACCATGTAATTCTTGAAAGAGTGGCTCGCTTGGATTGAAAATGTTGAATGGTACAGACAATGTGCAATAAAATATACAGACTTCTTGCAGCACTGTTTTTTTTTTTAATACAAATTTCTCAGCATTTTTGAGCTCCAGTCCATGAATTAGTGTATGTGTGCCTATCCTTTTTCTTGTCAGTTATATTTGAGTGAATTAATTCTTCGTTGCATCATGTCCATATTTATGGACATTGAAAAATTAATATGATGGCCCCCATTCTGCACAAAATTCACTGGATCATTATATACATATTTTATGGCATCACAACCTTTGGAATAAAGTCAGAGACTATGCACTCTGCCACATTCCATTGTCTCCTACCTGTTTCCCTTCAATATGGCATCCTCTGGTAACATACATGGGTGTCTTTCATAATTTTATTTAATATGCATAGAAGGGTTATTGGGATTTTTGTACAACAATATTTTCTTTTTCTAGTGCTCTTGATAAGCACTGGAATGCATTTGGGTGAGCACACCTACCTCCTGAGTAACCACATGTTCATTGGTATATCATTGGTTGCTATAGCTCCTTATATTGGTTTGTCCACAAGCATGAACCCAGGCCAAATGCTTAGGCCTACAGACAGGTTCTAGACACATGGTAATGGCTCTGTACATGAAGCTGAAATCCACTATAATCACTCATCTAATAAGGAATTATCATGGATATGACTTATTCTCATGCCATGGTGCTATTTTGTTTTGGGGTGCACATTTTACTTATTCTGGGATGTGGTGGCTGTTGCTTTGTGATTATGTTATTGTAAAAAAGATGCATGTTTTTGTACTCCCTTCAACGTGTACTTAATGAAAGTATCCATATCCACTACCTGCTTAGGACTTGAAATTTTTTCAAACCATTTTTAGTTTGCCATAGACACTTTGTGGTCTATCAAGTTACAGTTGTGTTAATGAGGAATTTCCATTTTACTTCAAGCTAGTTTTTGGACTTGTAAATTTAATTTATAATTTATTTCATTGTTCTTCATTCTTTCCATAATAATAATTATGATACAAACTTGGAACTTTTATATAATAGAGACATTATTTCTGATTTCCGTTGTTTTCAGAAAGTGGACTTATAAATTTTTGTCCCAAAGACAGGCTGCATGATGGTGTTCTTTTATGGAACTCTTTCTGTGTTCCTGAAAAAGTACCCAAAATACCACTTTTTTAACTCTCACAAGGACCACTTGGAGGTCCACAAAGAAAGTATTTTTCTCCCCATCCTGCTTCACATGAGCTTCACACTAGCAGCTGGGAGGAGTGCCACAGTGTAGTGCCTCAAAATCCTCCATGTGCTCCACAGGCCTACTGGTTCAGGTATGTCACACTGGAACAAAATTTTCCAGTTGAGCATTTTTCATTATCAATATCAAGCAGCAAAGGGGAGTTGCACGGGTGATGAAAGCTTGCATATGCAGTTTGCCCTTCATCAGGGCCGCCTAGAGGGGGGGGGGGCAATCTGCCCCGGGCCCCGCGTGTCAAGGTGTCCCAAGGGGGACCTCCAAAGGGTCTCCGGTTTAGTTTTGCCCCGGGCCCCTGGAAACCTCTGGGCGGCCCTGCCCTTCATAAATCAGCCTTGCATGTGTACAAGTCACCAGGAAGAGCCAATGAGAAGTTAATGCATATGAAAATCATCTGAAACGCCAGTATACCTACACCAGATTCTAGCTCCCGTCATAAATTTGAAGCTACTCAAAAGAATGAAAATTCGTAAGGTAATCTGTCATTCTTATAATTACCATTACCAAGCACAGGAAGCGATTATAGGTTCTCGTGTAAATTGTGTCTTTTTAAAAACTAAAATAAATAATAATAAAAACTATGAGGAAGATCAGAAGAGTGCAGAGCTGAAAACAAAAGTAAGAGTACGTCCATTGTTGATTGTCAATTAGCAATTTCATTGCCACCTCCCTTCACCCATCCAACTAAGCAGGGCCGGCCCTGGCTATTTCGGCGCCCTGTGCAAAGAAACTCTCAACGCCGCCCTCCCTCCCACTCCCCCCGAAGGGAGGTCAATTTCTAGCGTCCAAAAAGACGTCGAAACGGGAGGCGTTTCCAGTTTCTGAAGTGAAACCGAGGGTGGCAACCATTATTGCTCATTTATTCTGGCACGTTTTGACGCCCCTGGTGAATTTACGCCCTGTATGGGGGTACATGTGGCACATGCCTAAGGCCGCCCCTTCAAGTAAGAGAGGAAAATTTTAAGGAAATATCAAGTCCCACCTCCTTCGTTTGCTGTTGAAATAAAGCATTAAGTTCTGCAAGCGAACTCAGACAGGTCTAAGTTGGGAATAGGAAAGCTGAGCGCGCCCCACAGAATACTCGTGCTAGAGCTTGCGCGGGAATGGGGCTGAGACGGAAAGAACTTACAGGGCCTAAGGCTATGAGTGAGGGCATGGTGAAGGTGGGCGGAGTTATGTTGGTGTGCGACCAATCGCAGGAAACTCACTACTAAATACAATTATATGCAGATGTCACTTATTTATTTCGCTCTAGGAAAGAGCGATGTAGCAGAATTCGCTCCTGCTTCCTCATCCTCTGAGAGGTCTTGGTGTTAACATTCTGCGTTTCACTCTTCAACTAATCCCAGGCTAATGATAGCTTCTCGATCGTGACGTTTAAGCTCAGCCTTTCCACCGGCAACGCCACCAGACCCTTGTATAACAGCTTAGCCTTAGGCCTAAAATCGAGCCAGCCTTTTGCCCTAACGTCAAGACCCTTTGTCATCATAGATCTACAGGATCAGTTAAACCTTGGGAAGGCTACCAATGCATTCGGATGAACTAGAGTCGCAGGGCTTGTCTAGCCTACGCTACATTTCGAGTTGTCTCTGCTCCTGTGGAAGCTTTGTATTTCTAAATCCAAAACTCATGACTCCTAAAGTGTTGGAAAAGAACTCATGACTCTGCTCGCACCTTAAATGCAGTGGCATCAGCGCTGCCGATTGGAACGACTGTCTGAATTTCTGTTCTGCCAGCTATCAACATATGCACAAGAGGCAGGGAACAAATATAATACCCCATAAACATGCCAAGTTTCTTGAGGTTCAAGGGAAGGAATGAAACTTTTTCACCCTCACCTCAGATTAGATAGGATTACTGAAGGTCCCCTTTCCTTTGGATTGTGGATTGTTATTCCCCTCTCACCTACTTGTAGCAAGGTATAGTTGAAGATCAATGGGTCAGAGGGTGGACGAATGCTTTTAAGCTCTATTCCAATATAAGGAAGGAGGGGGGGGAACAAAACCAACCCTTTCTCCCACCCCTTTCAGAGACAAGAGGATAGCTACTCCCCCTGATGGTGCCCCTATTTCAGAAGTAGAATTGGTACCATGTTGAGCTAATATGAAATCCTAGTTCAAGTAAGTCCCTGCTTGTCCAGACCACTTTTATCCAGTGATATACATTTTCTTTCTCTCGACCTTTGAACATGTGAGCTTGGAGATGGGCACCTATTGGATGACTTCAGCATTTTCTGCCACTGTAAAGAAAACCTACTTTGGAAGTATATGCCCTTGGTTGATCAAGACTTTGCTCATGCCTGTTAGACTAACAGGCATTCCTAAAATATCAGTTATGAAAATGTACCTCAACAGAAAGCTCATATTTGTCTGTGAATTAGGCATTCATCTACAAGCTGGTGCCTCCACTCTACTGGCACACGTTATTCATCTGAAAGACAAAATTGAGTTATCGATCTCACTTGGGAATGCAGTCTTGCTGGAGTGCTGAATTTGATCTCTCAATTCCTTTAGAAAATTTCTAAGTCTTTCTGCTGAAGGTGTATGATGTATATTTCAATAATGTAATTAGGGTTTAAGTGATAGAACTGGTTATATTTGAACATTTGATTTAATTTTTGCATCTCAATCCAGTTTTAAAAAAAAATGTAATGATTTTTTTTAGAAGCATTTGTAGAAGCCTTTTTGCATCCACAAAACTAGATGACATTTTTATCAGTGCCAAGAACATAATTAAAGTGTGATGGGTCATGGGATCAGATCTGCAATTATTGCTTAGTTCGCCATACCCTCTTGCATCCCATTCAAGATTTATGCACCTTTGGATCTTTATAGATTTACCCAGCAGTTCTCAATAATTATGAAATTATATTGGTGAAATTTTATTTATGCTGGATTTCTTAACTAAGGGGGATGTCAATTCGTTATAAAGTATAGGACTTTGGACTTTAGGTTATCAATATATTGTTTTATTCTGTAAATAAATAAAATGCTGATTTCTGGACCATGTCCACTAACTACCTTGCTGATGTCTGCAGACCACAGATTGAGAACTGCTGGATTATTCAATATTGATTTGTTGAAGCAAAAATCCTGTTTCCAAAAATTGCAGTTATGAAGGAAAGCAGAAAAATCATAAGCAATGAATTTCAAGAAAATTTTCAATGTAGAAATAGGGGCAAAGTGAGGTGTATGGCTCTATTTACTGATTACTTGAGTTCTTGAAGTTCTTTTTTTGGGCAAAAATGGAACATTTCTTGAATGATTCTACAGAAGGGTCCAGGGTGGAGATAGTGGTTAAGTAAAGCCCATTTTTATTTCCCAGGAAAGGTTGCTTAGTTGTTTGGTTCAATTTTAGCCCTAGTTTGTTATTGGGTCTTATTGGTGGAATTTGGTAGAATCCTGGTGACATGTTCTAGTGCATTGGGGATGTTTTTAGCTTGCTTTATTATACACTTAGATAGTTTCAGTTGTTAGCAGCCATTTGGATAAACAGGCTATGGTATTTTAAGGAACACAATATATGTTGTTCACAATCTGACATAACATAAGGAAAAATATTCAATTTTGGCATTTCTTGTTAAAGCAAGAATTCACTATTTTTTCTGACTAAAATTGATGTCTGCCTTTCCTCTTGAGAGCTGAGACTCAGCTTCTACCCGTGAAAAAATTGTTTTCATTGCATAATTTTCCTTTAATCAGACCATTGAAGATATGTGTCCCATTAGTAGAATAGAACTTCCTTATTCAGTTATCCTATTGGGATATTTGCAAAACCAGGGACATTGGATATTTTATCATAACCCAAAGTTCTTAGGCCCAAATGCACAAACCTCATTTAGGGGAGAAAAAGGAGCCTTTAAGCCAAAGAGCTCTTCTTCTCCCATAGACGTCCTTGTAATCTTAAAGGACTGTTAAGTAAAGAAGGCTTCAGCATTCAGTCTTTAGTTTTCTCAAGCTCTCAACTAAACTCAATCTTGGTCTTATTTAGAGCAAAGACTGGAAAAGAAAGAACAAGATACTGGTAGATAAGATCAATGACTAAAGGAGAAACCTTCAAGTAAGCTCATTATGTTGAAATTTTCTTATATTTGATGCCCCTGGTATGTCCAGCTTGTATTAGCATAGTGTAGGGTGTACTGAGTAGTAGGTGCCATGTTGCATGTCTGATAGCTAATGTATAATTCCTTGCCCAAGTAGACCTATGGTGTGAAAACTTTCATTGAGAACACAAAATATGTGTAAATAGAGTGTTCACATCAGTTTGGTTGCAGAATCAGTACCAATTACTAATAGATTCTAAATTAGAATATACATATTTTTCAACTATACACTATTCTTAACTAACTGCATATATTTGAATGCACTTTCAGCATTTAAAAGAGGAATTAATAAGCTGAATAATGGTGTACTTATATGTCAAATATCAGCAGTTTTAAAAATTCAGAAGCTCATATGAACAACAAACAAAAACTGCTTTGCTGCATACTCAGATCCAAATGGTATGTGACCTTCAGCTGCCACCTGTCCATCCCCACTGCTACAAAAAAAATTAAGTTTTTGTTTGTGGTTCATATGAACTAATGAAATTCTGAACCTGTTGAAGATATTTGAAATGCAAGTACACCACTTAAAAAGGCTTAGTCATATATCTTTTTCAAATGCTGCATATCAAATTGAAATATATGCACTGAATGCTGTATAGTGTAACATTGAAAATTGTCATCTATTTATTTGGCCCACCCTTTTATTTAGTGACCCCAAACTTCTGAGTGTGATGAACTTTTTTTTAAATCATTGACATAGCAGAATTTTTCTACAAGTAAAATGCATATTATTTTTCTGCTGCAAAACTCCTTCTGCATGTAGAGATAATGTTAGGTCCAGAATTTTTGAGTTGGAATCAGTTACCCTTGGAAGTTGTTTATTTGCTAGCTTACAGCAAACATATTCAGATTGAGAGCTATATGCTCACATTTGGTTCTGAATTTGCATTCATGAGGTGGACTGTTATTGCATATTCTTGGATTTACTTATATTAACTGATGGTACTTCAGTTTGCTCACCGATTACAATGGGTCTAATATATTGTCTTCCTCAAAAGACAAATATTAGTTGATGTGCTTTGAGCATTAGGTTTTCCATGTAGCAATAGAAGTGCCTTTTGATGTTTGGCAACCTAGAACCACAAATTCATATGAAGGCCATAGTTGCTGTATGCTTAGTGCAAGTGACATTCAACTACCATTCAATTGAGAAACTATTTATGGATAAGATAATTATAGTTAGGTAGACCTCTTTAATAGGGCTACCAGTATATTTATGCATATAAACTAGAATGGTATCAAGAGTTTTTTTTTTTTTTTTTTTTCTAACACCAGATGAACCAGACACAATTTTAGGCACAGCCTGTATAGTGGTGGTGGTGGGTGAATGGTGATTTGATCACTAGAGTCATCCAATTCTGAGGAACTTGTTTGCAGTCATGCAAATCAGCCTCCTTTGGACATCACAACTCCAGCCTCTGAATTATCTGAAGGCTTGCTCTAATCAGAAGTTGAGAAACCTCTGTCTGCTCCAAATGGAACTCTTTGGGCATCTATGAAAAAGCAACAGGAACCTATTGGCTTCAGTGCAGCCTCAGCTGAATACTTGCATTGCCCAGGAAGGCATTGCTGACAATGCAGATTCGCTGTCTCATAGCATTACATCAGAGGAACCTCAAGTGATGTCAGGACAGAAAGAGAGTGACAAAAGCAAAGGACTTGTTGGAAGAGCTCAGTTTAGGCATAAAAAGTCACTAGAAAGGAAGGACAGACCTTCACTCACATCAAAAACAGATATTTTAAGGCAAAGGAATGGTGAAGCAAGTAAGAAACTTGACACATCACTAGATAGTAGGAAAAATCTTGAAGAAAGTGAGAATGGGATAGGAAATGACAGCCCATTAGAAGCATCTAATATTGCACCACTTGCTTGCTGTCCTACAAATGTTTCTCATTGTGAAATCACTCTGGAAACTTATGTGTCTGGCAAAATTGGGCGAGATTTATTGGAAACTGAGGAGATGCCAGTAAAAGTTTCACAATCTGACAAAATATATTCAAAGGAAACTGAAATGAAATCATCACAGGAATTATGTGACAAAGCCAGGAACCCCACAAACATGTTTCAGGTTCATCATAAAAATGGAAAAGAGGATAGTATTACAAGTGCCCTTTCTTTACAAAATGACAGTGTTTCACAGCTTCTCACTCCTGGGCAAGGAATGAATCTTCATGAATCAACAGGAAAAGTGATTGAAAATGTGAATAAGGAAAGTTTGCTTGCTGACTCTCGTCCAGTTATATCCCTTGGAGAAGGAAATTTTCAGTCACTGGTTCCCCAAGGACAAGACAAAACTGCAATGAAGTATCATGAAATTTTGAATTTGCATCCTCTTGAATTGCATGCAAGCCAGCCTGGTACTGCAGTTAAGTCTGCACCTCAGGTCACTCTTATATCTGATGAAGCAAGAGACTTTGCTTCAGATGAAGGATGTCTTGTGACTGATGAAGGAGACAGAAAAGAGAAGAACCATGGTGCTTCAGCATTGTCAAGGAAAAGAAACCTCTCTCTCCTGACTCAAAACCATGAACATGACAGGAAGGGAGGGATGTCACATTCTGAGATTGTAGGACAAAACATCATTATTTCTAACAAGCCATCATCTGATGTGGAACTATGTCCATCACAAGGTGCCATTGCACCACTCAAGATCAAGCTGCCAAGTGTCATGCTGAAGCAGGAAAGACTCAATAATCCTTCATTTTCAATCTCTGATCCTGTCTTGAGACAAAGCTTCAGCTGGAATAGGCCACCTACTCTGGAATCCCCTGCCTACAAGGCCCCATTCAAGAAGGGTAAAACCTTTCTTACCAAAATAATCATAGGTTGAAGTTAATTTGACTTCCTTGTCTTGATCTGGTGAAGATATTTTTCATCAATAATCTTAAGTATTACTATGAATTAAAAAATTTAATTTTGTTGGGCTCTTTGTAACTTATATTTTCCATTAAATATCCCCAGCAGAATGTTTTCTGTATTATTTTTTCATGAGTTCTTCCCTGATATGATGTGCATTGATTTTAAATCTCTTTTTTTTTTTCCTGCAGACTTTCATATAATATGTTTTGAAAGAACATGATCTGAACTGAATTACGAATTAGCATTTTTCCCTCATGGAAGAGAATTTCACTCTCCATCTCAAGTAGTTGGTCAGAAAGATGAAATATACTACCAAGATATACCTCTTCAAAATTTATTCTTATCAAGTGTGAGTCGAGCTCTTCTCTTCAAAGAAAATGGTGATCTTTATTGAGAGTAGGTGTTTGGCGACTTGCTCTTATGCTTGAATTCCTTTGTATATTTTGGCTCATTCTGCAGTCAACAGGAGATATTTCCTGCTTCTATGTCAAGAGATGAAAGAAATAGTTTTAAAATTCTGTGAAGCTGGCAATTTCAAATTTTGAAGTCTCATGAAACTTGGAATTAATGGAAGCAGTATAGATGATGCTGTAATAGAGGTGGAAACATGTTTCCCACTTTCTTAATTCCTCTTCCCTTGCCCTCCAGGGGAGCAAATGGATGTACAAGGCCAAGGAGAGACCTGAGGGGGAAAGTGCAAGATGACATATCTCTGCCTCTAAAGGGCATGTTCTCTTGTTGGATGTGATGGCACAATTATACAAGCTGAGGGTTGGATTGCCACCTGCTCTGTGTTAGATGAGGTGGTGTAGAGTACAAGTGGTGTAAGTCCAAGAAAACACTTGTAGGTAGAAAAGGCTTATTAGGTATCTCTTGGAAAAATCAGAAGACAAGTAATGAAAATTTGATGTTATTGTATTATTTCTGCTATCATTTAGATAATCAAGTTCACTTTCTATGTTTACATTTCCTCTGTTCAAGTAGTTGTCATACTTCTTGAAAAAATAAGAAATGTCCTTGTGCTCTACCCACCTTTGCTCAACACTCCTGATGTGGAGTTGCTCTATAAGTTTTGTGCAAAAATCAGATTCCTTGCTCTTGGAATTCTCTGACAAATTTCACACTGTTGGAGGTGCCATTATATACCCCCCTTCCTCCAAGGCACAGTTTCTAACCTTGTTCATTTTCATCCCCCAAAGGTGGCAACCCAAACTGACTGATAGCACTTTTCATACTGCTATTTCACCAGTATTGCATTATTGTGGGGTTCCATCCATACATTCAATTGATAAAAATTAATTGCCCATAGTTGAGAAGATAGAGAATTGATGTTCCCTGTACATAATGTTTGGAAGTTCTCTTTTGCAAATTGTGAGATTATATTGTGCTCTGATTCATTGTAGACAAGGTGTGAGTGGTTGTGCACATAAGGCAACTGCAAGTAATAAGAGGGAATTGGTTTGGTCTATCGACCAACCCCTAATAGACCATTATTGACTGACTTTTTCATGGTGCTCAAAATTGGTAATTTGTTGCTGAAGCTGTAGTGCCAGTTCCATTTTCAAACTATACTCACACAGTCTTTCCAGCTCCTGTTGGGTGTGACAACACTACAGTAGGTGCTTATACTATTATGACAACATCTCTCATAACCTGGGTAGAGTTAGGCAAATGTATGTATGCCTAGCTTGCTCTTCAAGATCTTCCAGCCTTACTGGCTGGCAAGGTTAAGGTTCAACATTTAATTTACAACTTCATAATCTTTGGTTTAATTTGTGGCCTTTGAGGCCTACATAATACTGATGGCCTGAACTGATGAACTGTGAATGCCATGAGATAGGCCAATAGATGCCTTCTCCTGAAATTGAAAGCCTTACCTGGCAACTCCTCAATCTGAGTACCTCACTACTCATGGTGCTTATGGAACTCTACTTCTCTCTATCTTCAAAGATCACAGATTACTGGGTTATGTTCTAACATTTGGTTACTTGCATAACAAATTTCTGTCTCAAAGGAGAATTGTAGCCATGAATTGTGAGTCATGACATTCAAATGGAGCTCTAAAAAGTGGAGAAAGAAACAACATCAGAGTATTGGTTTTGATTGGCTATTTGACTGGTCATTTCAAAGGTTTTTAATTGACCAGTCAACAATCCATTCCTAGCCCCTGCATTCCCAGGAATATGAAAGAGGAGGAAAATGAACTAGTCACTGACTACTGTACTGATACTATCTTTGGAATAATTAGTGGACTTTGACTAAATGGTGATTTCTGACTTTGTCCAGGTTGGATCAGAGAATTGGTGGTAAGAGGAATTGTGAATGGAGTCATTCAGAATGGCAGGAGGATGTGTGATGTTTACTACTATACTCCCAGTCGTGACAGAAAAAGGAAACTTCGATCCCATAGAGAAGTTGAAGATTTCTGTGAGTTGTAGCCTTTGTCTTTTACCTCATTTTCTCAAGCACAGCTAACCCCAGCTTAGGGAGTGATCAGCATGAACCATCACAAGGGTAATTTTATCATCTTAGGTGCATTTTCTTTCCCCCTAATTCTGCCATTACTGAGTAGTTATTCATTCATAAAAAATGCAAATGCCTAAGTGTGTCAATTTGCAAAAATTTGGCTTTCAAGATGTATGTGCATATCTAAATAGGGTTGCACAGAAATATGTACTTATGTAGATGTAAGAAAAATCAGATGAGTTACAACTGCTGTCTTCTCATCAGAAACAAAGTCCCTTGTGGTTTTCTGCTGCATTTCTTCCTGGACAATTATTTCAGCCATGGGCTGCAGGGGACTCAAGTGTTTGAAATTTTTCAGGGTCAGCATTTGGCATTAGACTGAGAAACAGCTGAAGATAGCCGAAAGCTATGATTGCTTGACTGAGCAAAATTTTCAACTCGATTTGAAGCCTGATCCTTCATATCATGAAAAGATTAAGAGACAGAGCTCCCTTACTCCCCATGGTTACACCCACATGTGGGAGGAACATGCTAAAATTAGATATGAAATTAGATTTTCCAGAAATGCTCAAAATACAAAGTCTCTGATATGTGCAGCAGATTTAAATATTGTTATGCAGAACAGTTTTGTTCCTTTGAACAAAAAAAGACCTTGTAAAATCAAGCAATTTGTAATGCAGAATTTTGCCATGAAGAAGCATTTCACCATGCAAGTGGATGTGGAAACAACTGAGAACTGTAAAAAAAAAATTAAAAAAAACAATGAATTATATAGAGGTTCATTTATATAGAGTGTCAACTGTACCTGGATTTTAGTGTCTGTAGATATTCTCATTGCTCTTCTGTGAGCTACATTGACTTCTTCTAATTCCAACCATCTTTCCAATGATTCACTTCTCCGTCCAGAATCTGACTCCCTCAAATTAAAAAATAGACTTGGCATATACTAATTTTAATTATCTTGAAGCACATGAAGCTGAAGATCCACTTTTGAACCAGTGTTCCTCTGGATAACCAGTCCTCTGGATAGGAAATTTAATGTTCCATCTTTTTTTAAATTCTTTTGGAGTTCTCTCAATTGTCCTTTGTTCACCTTTGTTCAGTTTGTTTGAACTCCCANTTAAATGTGGAGCCATAATGAGTGATACATACATATATGATGTCCATTTAAGTTGTTAAATACCTGACCTTTAAAATGGTATTTAAAATTTAAATCCCCTGCTGGGCCATCGGGACTGATGCCATATGGCGTCGGTAGCAGTCAAAAGGTTAAGATTAAGGTGTCCAAAAGAACATGGGGAAAGATCAAACAATGTGCGGAAAACAGAGGACAATATACAGACACGCTGTGATTTCCTTGTTAAGGGACTTTGTGGCCACCCTGTAGATGGTATGCTAAAATATAAAAGGAAGTGGATTGTCTAACACTAAATCTTTGATGCAACCAATATGGTCCAGCATATTGGCACAAAGTAATGGTGTCCACCAACACCATTCCATGTTCAGAGAATATTGTTAAGTGAGAAGAGACTATTAGGGAAGGAAAAGGAATTTTGTGTTATTATGGAGATGAACTACCTAAAGGTGGTCATACTGCTATTATATTCTTATGATGTTCCTTCTTTGATAGAAGAAATTCACTGTATCAGCCAAAAAATATTTTTCATTCAGATTTGAAAAAAGCAACATTGGTATGAAATCTAAGTCAATATCAGCTTGTGAAAGATCTTTTAGAGAAGCTGGTCAGAAGGAGGAAGAGGCATTTAAAAATATAAGTTAAAGAATTGAGCTTTGGAAATGAGATAAACCAGAGCCTCAAGATTGCATTTCAACTTTTTAAACATCCAATATAGAAATGCCTGAAGAGAAGTATGGTTCCTCTCCAATGCCATCAAAGAAAACCTGATGTTCTCAGAAGCAAGTTAGTCCCAGTCTCCTGCTAGATTATAACAGCTATATGATGTGTCCATACCCTTTCAAGGTATAAAGAGGAGTAAACCATAAAAAGGATAAGTAAACTCCCAATAATAGCTTGAATATGGGAACTGTTGGGCTGATTACCTGAAGAATATCATTGAATTCTATTTGCAGCCTGCATGGTTGTTTTGTACTACTGTAATGAACTTTTATGCCTCTCAAAGAAGTACACCATGGGTCAACTTCCAGCCATCTATAATATTTCACCAAGGTATCATTTCCCTTCTTAATTGCAGGCAATCCATTCACCTGCCACCAACCACCACCAGAATGGCTATCACTGGTTCTTTGCACACTGACAATCAGATTCCCTATGAAAGTACATGTACTTTTATTCTCAATCTGAATTCCTGCATATTGAACAATGCTCTCTCCTCCTATACTTACGATTTTGTATACTTTCATGAGAGGATCTACCACTTGTTTTTTTTTTTTTTTTTAAACTAATGCAGCAAGTTCTTAAATTTATTCTGGTGTTCTATTTTTTTTGTTAATACAGTTGACACTTGATATAATGAACTCAAAGGGACAAACTGAAAATAAGAGACCTGATAAATATATGCCAATATCACTTCAAAATGTCATTTATTGCCAGAATGATAGTAGTTATTCATTCATAAAAAATGCAAATGCCTAAGTGTGTCAATTTGCAAAAATTTGGCTTTCAAGATGTATGTGCATATCTAAATGGGGTTGCACAGAAATATGTACTTATGTAGATGTAAGAAAAATCAGATGAGTTACCACTGCTGTCTTCTCATCAGAAACAAAGTCCCTTGTGGTTTTCTGCTGCATTTCTTCCTGGACAATTATTTCAGCCATGGGCTGCAGGGGACTCAAGTGTTTGAAATTTTTCAGGGTCAGCATTTGGCATTAGACTGAGAAACAGCTGAAGATAGCCGAAAGCTATGATTGCTTGACTGAGCAAAATTTTCAACTCGATTTGAAGCCTGATCCTTCATATCATGAAAAGATTAAGAGACAGAGCTCCCTTACTCCCCATGGTTACACCCACATGTGGGAGGAATGTGCTAAAATTAGATATGAAATTAGATTTTCCAGAAATGCTCAAAATACAAAGTCTCTGATATGTGCAGCAGATCTAAACATTATTATGCAGAACAGTTTTGTTCCTTTGAACAAAAAAAGACCTTGTAAAATCAAGCAATTTGTAATGCAGAATTTTGTCATGAAGAAGCATTTCACCATGCAAGTGGATGTGGAAACAACTGAGAACTGTAAAAAAAAATTTTTCAAAGACAATGAATTATATAGAGGTTCATTTATATAGAGTGTCAACTGTACCTGGATTTTAGTGTCTGTAGATATTCTCATTGCTCTTCTGTGAGCTACATTGACTTCTTCTAATTCCAACCATCTTTCCAATGATTCACTTCTCCGTCCAGAATCTGACTCCCTCAAATTAAAAAATAGACTTGGCATATACTAATTTTAATTATCTTGAAGCACATGAAGCTGAAGATCCACTTTTGAACCAGTGTTCCTCTGGATAACCAGTCCTCTGGATAGGAAATTTAATGTTCCATCTTTTTTTAAATTCTTTTGGAGTTCTCTCAATTGTCCTTTATTCACCTTTGTTCAGTTTGTTTGAACTCCCATGACTTCCACATTGGTGTGTACACAAGCATGTTGACTGGATAGTCTTCCCTGCACCCAAAACAGAGCATAGAGTGAAAGTGATTTATCTATATGAGAAGATGTGGGAGGGATGGGAGAGGATCTTTTCTGCTCCATGGGCATATATTCTACTGCATGGGTAAATCTTGAGCCTTAAGTCACTGTTTTTAGAGGGGGTTATTGAAGAGTTGATGGTAGGCAACTGCAAGATGGCCAATTCTTGGTTAAATCTATACTCATAGCAAAAAAAAAAAGTTACGTCAAGAAGGACTTGAGCGATCTTGATGAAATTTGGTAATCATGCTCATATTAATGCGTCATGTAATTGATGCTAGTTTCAAGGTCGTAGGTTTAATATTTGTAGAGAAGACTTGCCAAACATCCCAATTTAAATGGGGTCGGAAGGGTCATACTTATTGCCCACAAAGAACATCTAGAAAGAGCTTAAAGAATTAGGGTGGATTTTTGAACAGAGTACTATCTGATAATGCTGCTTTATTTACCGGATTTATAATGCATTTTCTCAGAAATAAAGCTGCTTTATCGGATAGTTCTCTGTTCAAAAATCCACCCTTAAATGCAAAACAGGAACTTCTACTGATGTTTAGAACATTAGAGCAAAGTTAAAGGTCATAGGATGAAGCGATGCAGGGAAAACTTGCCAAGCTAGCTGAATGCCACGAGTGATGGGGAAAAGGGCGACTACACTGATCAGGGCAGTTTCCTTTTCTGCTTCCCTCCATCCACTCTGCTTAGCTTCAATCGTTTATTTTTGGTCTTTAAACCCATGCCAAGATGATGTTCACAAAGGCAGTTTTGCCAACTTCACCAGGTCTATTGAGGTCGGTTAGTTGGCATGGTTGATGTCGGCATGAGGTTGGCATGAGGTTGGCATGATGGTGGCTGGGGACGGGCCAAAGGACTTCTTTGAGGACTGTACTGGCATGCAATCCAGCTGGGACTGTGGTCTAAACGACCTGTCTGTGGTCTAAATGACCTGTCTGACAACCTGTTTCCACCACCTTCTGTGAACACAGGTAGAAGCAATTCAGTCTCGGAGAATCTACGGCCTCAAATATCAGTCATCCCTGGGCATCGGGATGCAAGGGCAGCCTGATCCTCATCGCCGTTCATGGTTTGCCCCATTCTGATAGAGTCCACCAACGCCTCACGGTAGTCACACTTACACTTAGCCTATGCGCAAGCACAACCTGATGCATGCTATGGCCTACCTCCATCATGCCAACTAACCGACCTCAATAGATCTGGTGAAGTTGGTGAAACTGCGTCTGTGGACGTTGTCCTGGTATGGGTTTAAATATAAAAAATAAACAATCAAAGCAAAGCAAAGTGAATGGAGGGACACAGGAAAGGAAACTGGCCAGATCAGTGTAGTTGCCCTTTTCCCCATCCCTCGTGGTGTTCAGCTAGCTCGGCAAGTTTTCCATGCATTGCATCATCCTATGACCTTTGAACTTGGCTTCATTGTACTAAACATCAGTAGAAGTTCCTGTTTCGCATTTCATTACTAAACTCCTAGATGTTCTTTGAGGGCGATAAGTACGACCCTTCAAACCCCATTTAAATTGGGATGTTTGGCAAGTTTTCTCTGCAAATATTAAACCCACGAATTTGAAACAAGCAACAATTTCATGATGCACTAATATAAGTATGATTACCAAATGTCATCACGACCGCTCAACTCCTTGGTGTGACTATTTTTTTGGCAATGAGTGTATATTGGGACTCGACAATTTTATTATATGGGGGGAAGCCATTTTATGAGTCCCTTCCTCCTGGGTTTATTATGTAGCTAGTGGGATGAATTGAAAACTTTGTAAAAGTAATGCATTGATTCTGGCAGTAAATGTTAAAAAAATTGACACTTTGTAAACTTTAAATTTGTACACTCATTCAAGATTACTGATTTGCTACCCCATTTTCAGTAAATTGCAGGATTAAGTACATTCTGAGTGATACATGAAAAAATTTTCCTCATTATTAATGTGCGAAATTGCTTGTTTCCATTGCTACTTGCCTTTTTTTTTTAAAGGACTTCTTCAGAAACCATTTATATGTGTATATTCATTCCTGTTCATGTGAACTACAAAGATGAATGGGCAGGTGCCTGGCAGGAGCTAGCAAACTTGCCCTCAGTCAACACTGGGCAAAGGTTTCAGTATTAACGGAATGGGCTTTTGGTTTAGAAGTACACCACCTGCTATTAGCACTGTCGCAGCAACCTGGCTGACATTTCTAACTCAACCTGAAGTCACCTTACCTAGGAATGACACTGACACTCAGTGATGGTTCTTCCTATAATTGAAAAAATAACTTGTTAGTGTCAACTTAATCATTGTGACCATGGGTGGCTAAACTCCCTGACCTTACAAGCTGCATAACAAAATATTCATACTGCTGAGAGCCTCACGACACACACTACTTTACCTATGCATTCTTCAACACCAACCCTACAATTTCACAAAAAGATTCACCTTCTTGAGAGCCACACTTGATCTGTACATGTAGCTCACAAGCCACAGTTTGGCTACCCCTGATTGTGACTTAATTGCTAGTGGCAGATGGTGTACTTCTGAATCAATGCCTTTCCAGTTATTTAGGGTACTACACACTATTAACAGTAGTCAAATGGAATCACCTGTTGTCCGTGGAGTGAGGAAATAGTTGCCAGTATCACAAATGTAGTCAAACTTCCTGGAACTAAGTATGAATATTTTGTTCATTTCCTTTTTTTTTCTTCATATCACCTATGCCTTGAGGTAATCTCCAAGTAATATCAAGCAGTTGCTATACCATGCTGAGAAAAACTTTCTAAGATAACCAAATCAGAGATCCTTAGAGTATGCAAAATTGAGGCTAAGAAAGTATGTTACATAGTTCCACAGCAAAGAAACAACAGATACTGCATTCTGATTCTTTAGTCACTCTCATTTCTTATTAATTGTGCAAAAAAAAACTGATTTTCTCAGGGCTTTGGCCTTTGGACTACATGGAAAGTTCATACACAACTCTTTTAACCCCTTAAGTGAGTGTGACGTTTACATCCATCATAGTGAAACGCTCTTGAGGTGGGTTTGACTTTTTTTTTTCCTGGTATATTTTGGGCTTGAGTTAAATAGCAACTCAAAATAGGAGTATAAACTCAAAAAAGAGCAATAAATTTCTTACACAAGCACTAATTATTGCTCTAAAAAAAATTTTTTTATTCCAGTGCTAGACTTCTGACCTAGAAATTCCCCACTTAAGGTAAAGCATTTGTTAGTATGTTCCCTTGTTATTTAATGCCCTAAGATAATAAAATTCCCATTAGATATACAGCAGGAGACCACAGAATGGAGAATTACTGAATCTCATAATATACTCATTGCCAAAAATAAGCATGACCAAGAAGAAGTTGAGCAATCTTGATGGAATCTGGTACATAAGCCCATACTAGCATACTATGAAATTTATTTGAATTTCAAGCATGTGAGATGAATATTAATGGAGGAAGCTTGCCAATTAGACCAATTTCAATAGTGGCCATTGGGTCATACTAATCCCCAGAAGCAGTTACCTAGAGGGGTTTACCGTGTTTACTGATTCTACCATGTTAGAAACATGGTAGAAAAACTCCTAAGCATATGCAGGAAAACCTAGCAAAGTTTCAAGATCTTGAGATGAAGCAATTCAGAGAAAGCTTGCCAAATGCCAGGGGAATTGAGGAAAATGGTAGTGCCAGTTTCCTTTTTCCCTTCCTTCAAGCCACTCCACCATAGGGCTGTTGTTGGGTATCCAGCTGTGAGGCAGTGCCAAGTTGAGATCTCTAGAGGCAATTTCAACATGTTGTTAGGGTATTTTATCCATGGAGAGTAATTATGGTCATGTATCAGCTTCATGCATCAGGCTGAGGCATGCACCAAGTTGATGCATGGTAAACATCCCAGTTATCCTTCATTGATGAAACACCCTAACAACTTGTTGAGATTGCCTCCAGAGATCTCATCTTGGCACTGCCTTATGGTTAAACTCTAAACAACAGTGAAGTGTAGTGAAGCTGTTTGGGGAAGAGGGAAAAGGAAACTGGTGCTGCCCTCTTCCTTGATTCCTCTGGCATTTAGCAAGTTTTCTCCTAATAGCTTCATCTCACGATCTCAAAACTTTGCTAGATTTTTCTGCACATCCTTAAGTTTTTCTACCATGTTTTATGAGTAAAAACCATCTAGGTGACTTTCAAGCAATTAGTATGACCATTATTGAAATTGGATTAATTGTCAAGTTTTCTCCATTGATATTCATCCCACACACTAGAAATTCTGATCAATAACACACTATACTAGTACAAGCTTGTGAACCAGATTTCAAGATCCCTCAACTCCTTCTTGGTTGTGCTTTTTTTTCATGATGAGTATACATGGTCCTGCATTTGTGGCTTCAAAGAGGCTTAAGGGAAGTTTATCCATGCATAATGTTTTCTAATTCTTATAGTTCAGAAAAATCCATGTGAAGATCTTGGACCAGACAATTTCACTTTTGCCAAGTATGTTGTGGGAGGACCTGAGAACCAGGAGATTGTTCGTATGGCTGGGCAGGCACCTGGGAAACCTAAAACAGTATGTCTCAGAATGAACATTTGCTTTCAGTTTATGATAGTAATGCAAGCAATGTCATTTCTGTCCTGCTATAGGATTACATTTTATTCCATTTGCAGATTGCATCCCTGCAAAAGAATATTGAGTCTCCAAAAGGGAAGCGGGAAGTACTCCGTCCAAAGAAAATGACTTCAAAATTGAAGAGGAAAATTCCAGGAAGTCCCCAAAGTCCTTCAATATCACCTGTATTGTTTAAGCAGAGAGTTCTCTCACAAGGGCCACTCACAGACATGCAACCACAGGTAGCAAAAGCAATTGAACTTGCAAGAATTCCAAGATCTCAGAACATAGCTGAAGGATTACCATTGTTGCCAAAAGCTAAGGAAATGTCAACAGATACTGAATTCTCAACTTTTCCAAAGGGCCCAAAAATCAAGATAACCCGGATCAGGAATGCTGTCCAGACAAAGTTGAGCACACAGGATGTATGGCAGGCTCGTCTTCTATCTTCCACTGCATTTGCTTCAAAAAATGCTAAGAAAAAGAAGTCAAATGAGTTGGAGATGGGAACTCTTCCCCCAGGGATGTCATTAGTGAAGACATACAGGAGGAAGGTTAACCTCTCCTTAATGTCTGTATCTCCAGAGGTTCCTTCTACATCATCTGTCAGTCTTGATGCCACCCTTGACAGTGTCCACCTGGTGAACAACACCCAAGTTGTGAGATTCCCAGCCATGTATAACATGGATCCCTCAAGACTTCTTGTTCATCCTAAAGGGCAAGCAGGAAATACAGGAACTCAGTTCTGCGTTAAAAATGTGAGGGCACCTGGGTATGATATAGTTCAAAAGGCTAATGCTACAGCCCCTAATGTGAGAGGCAAATCTTCAGCAAGTGATATAGACACCAACAGAAAATGTGCAGAACAGAGCACAATCTCTGTCTGTGAGAAACAAGCATGGTCTGCTGGGGATAGTGGGCCCCTACTGAAACGGCTGCGAATAGATGGCAAGACAAATAGAGATCATGAAATGCCTGAAATTCTACTTGGCAGACCTGAAATTTTAAATGTTTCTTCTGATGTTGGTGAGGTGAAAGTCATAGATCCTCTACAGAGGTCTGATGAATCTTCACAGGATCAAGGGAATTCCCAAAGTACATTATTAAGGTGAGTTACCTGGAAGCTCTTCAAAGGCATTTATGGATCCTTTTCATTTTTGTCTTGTGTATTCATGTCTGTGAAGTATGGCTTCATGTAGTGTTATTCATGCAAGCACATTTTGAATTGATTCCCATTTTTCCAGGTTACCTCCATGCTCTCTTCATTGTGCCAATTTAGTGGGGGTTCTCCCTTCTGCCCAATGCAGGTTCTGCCTCTGCATGTTCCATCCTCAATGTGTGAATCATCCTGATCCATCAGCTGAGTATGTTGTTTGTCAAGTGAGTACCTGTTTCTTCTTTTTTTCCCTCATTGTCTGTGTTTGAGTTTATTCCAGGGCTGGGGAAACATAAGCAAAAAAGGGATATGAAAACATATGAAAGGTTTTGATATTGAAGGAGGAATGGAGTTGGAAACAAACCTCTTCCAATTTTTTCTCATTTTTTTGTCATAATAGAAAATTAAAAACTATTTAATGGCTATTTGCTAATTCCATCCACTTCCTGTGGGTTTCTTGATTGTCCTAATTCCATTATTTTGTGTGGGAGGTACTTTTACTGGTTCATAGTGGAGTTAATGACAGCAGAAAGAGAGAAATGCTATGTTTTGTAAAGAAAGTGAATTGTAAAAATTGATAAAGAACAGTTGACTCTTCCTAATTGAATACCACTTTATGGAATACCATTGTACGGTTCCAATTTTTCCACCATTAGGTACATTATGAAAAACATCGTGTAAAGGGATTAGGTAATTAGAATAACCTGCTTAAAGGAATAACATTCCTCAAATATGTAATACTTTTTTCAGCTCATTGTAAAATGAAATATGCTTATTTTTCCCATTAGTAGTCTTGGAAGTCTCTTCTGGCCCTTCAACCAGTCCCACCCTTCCATTTTGTGGAATGAAGGTCATGAGTTCCCACTTGACTCTTCTGTGAACTGAGGGCAGGGGCAGAGGGAAGCAAGCACACCCTTTCCTAAAAAATTGGGGTGTAAGTATAGACTGCAGATGTGGAAAAGAGGCAAATAAGCCTGCCTTTTTTAGGTGAAAGTGTAAGAAAGTTTACCTAAACTATAAATTGAGCCTATAGGCATCAGTTCTGCACATTCTGAGTTGACCATGCAGAAAAGAAAAGACCAAAAGCTTGGCCAAAAAGATTGCAGTTCTGAATACCCATCAGGACAAAAAGCAGACACAAGCTGAACTAGCTCAGTAGTTGGGATCTCAGCCACAAGTTTCAAAGATCATCAAAAACAAGGTAGCAAAATATTGTAATGTGCAAAATGCATTCTTGAAAGTGGCAAAGCACAAATACAGGTACTGTACTTCAGGTTATACAGTACAATTTAAAAGTTGCCTAAAGTACAAAGAAAAAGTACCGTACAATTGTTTTAGTTATTGGAACACTCTGGATGGAATAAAGTTCACAGGTCCCATGAGTATTCCATTAAGCAGAGTCGACTGTATAATGTGTTTCTGAAAAATATTCAGAAATGTGAATATTATTAAATGAAATTCATATAGTATTCCAGCCCTGATTTATTCATATCTTCCTTTGTGTTACAACATGAATTCTTCTTTCCTCCACCTTGTAGAAGTGTCGGACCTCAGAAAGGAGGACCACAATTGATAGTCAGGTATCAAGAAGTGATGAAGCATCATCTGGAGAGCCTAAGAAGAGTCCTCAACCTATACCTTTACCATCATCACCTACTTCTTTGTTGACACCATCCAAACTAGTTGCTACGAACAGTCCCGCAAAGTCTCAGCCAAAGCTGAAGTACACAGCACGCAAGAGTAGTGCAGGATCAGCTTTCAAGTCCAAGAATGCAAAGGGAGTACCAAAAGTTTCGACAGGACAATCTGTACAAAACCAGAGTGATCAGGAAGAGGAAAAGAATGGAGTGGAAGAACCATGCAGTGAACCCCAGACTTATACTAGAAAGCCTATGCCAAAGCTTGTACCAATTACAAAAGTACAACATGCAGGAAGAAAATTGGAAATGTCATTCCTTCAAGCACCTGGCAAAGGCATCAAGGTCAGATCAGGCCTGCAAAGCCCTGAGGGGACTACATTGTTGACAAGTGTTGCTCCCATGCTAGCATCTCAGCCAGTGCCTCAGTGGCATCAACCCTTGCAATTACACCCATCAAGCTCTTCAACTACAGCCTCATCCAGCAAAGTGACTGTATTTTCTGAAAGTGTTTCATGTACGGTGCCTGCCGTTATCAAGCTTCCTGAGAGTTCAACTCCTGTTAGAGCTTCAAGCAACCCTCTGGTGGATAATGGCCCTACTGTCAGCTCCAGTCAACTTCCGATGTCAGTGCAGTTTGGAGAGGAAACTGATAAACAAACCATTCATGACGTTTCATCATCCAGACACTCATCTCTGCCCTCAAGCAGCACTTCACCGAATTCACCTCAAATAGTTCCTTCTAAGTGTTTAAGTAGTGTCATCACCAATGTATCTGCAGTGGTAGCAGAAAGTGTTGGTAGTCTTCATTCACCCATGAGTGCACCAAGTGCACCATGTGTTGTTTCCCAAATGATGACAGTGATGAATCACAAACCAAGCATGCAAAGTACTGCCATTTTGCCAGTGAGTTCAAGCTTTTCAAGGGTGAACTCCATGAGTTCTCAATCTGTAGTGACCCCTTCTGAAGCTAAGATGATGGTTACATCACCCTCTCAAGGAACTCAGTCAGGCAGCTCACTGAGAGCTAAATCCATTAGCATTTCTCCAGCATCTATTGCTAACAGTCTAGCCATTGCACAGCCACAGATCAGGTCTGTTGCTGGTGCAACTATCACTGGACCTCAGGTTGTTTCTGTGAGCAGTGGACCAATAAATGCACTCCTTGTTGGATCTGCAATTGGCAACTCAGTGGCTTCACCTCAAATGACATCATTTAGGGGAGCAGATCCACCTAATAGACCTAATAGGCCTATCAATCATGTGACTGGAGGTCAATCATTCACAACTCCACATATCTCATCTGTGAGCAGCCTTCATGCCCTAAACTCCAATCAAATGAATTCAAGTTCAGCCACTGGACTATCACTCCTACCATGCCCTGCTCCTATTAGTTCTGTGAGTGGAACCCCAAAACCTGTGGATCATTCTAAAAAACCTTTGAGGAGGCTTGTCCCTGCACCATCCAGACCTGCAGTTCAACCAAGTGTATCTGTGGCCTCAAATGAATCCAGCACACCTGAGAGTGCCAAGTCTTCATCTGTATCTTGTGAGGATGCAGTGGTTTTGCAGAGAGGCAGAACTTCTGCAATGAAGCGAAGTTGTGATAAAACCAAGACAGATGAGGAACAGGAGGTTTCTCAGAATCCTAAAACAAAGCCAACTTCCATGCCTGTAACTTCATCTGTTAGGTCAAAGAATGCTCCAGAGGAGAAATGTAAGAGGGGCAAGGTCAGTGACCATGGAAGTCCAAATGCCAAACGCTTGAAAGTACATAGAATAGGTGGTCACCAGGTCTCAGAAATACAGCTTCCATTTGTAGTATCTGTGGATGAAAAGCCACTCATTTTACGTTGTGTTTACAATGTTGAACAGCAAATGAGTATCTTGAAACCAGTAAAAACTGAAAATGCTGCAATACAGACAGATGAAGTGTTCCCACCATCAGGGGAGAAAGTGCAGGTGGAACCTCCCTCATCACCAGAAGTAGTAGAGGTTTTTGTCAGCAGTAAATGTTCACCATCAACAGAAATTCACCCAGTCTCAGAGGAAGGCTCCATGCTGAGTAGACAAGGAATCTTGAGAGTAGATCATCCAACATCCCTTGTCCCAGTGAGTAATCAGAGTTTTCTTGCATATATTATCCCAACTTCACATAATGTGATTGAGCTATGCCTTGCATATGCACTCATTGCCATACAGTTTTGAAATATTTAAACACATTTCCAGCACTTACCTCTCAGGACAGGGGTAGTTGAATAAATCTGAAGTTACTTTTGAACTGCCACTTGAATTTTCTGGTCCTCATTGTGAAAAAGAAATAATTTTATTGCAATTCAAATGCTTCATTGCAGAAAAAGACACAAAGGAATCTACAAATGCATACTGCTCTTGCCTTGGCCTTCAAGCACCTAGACTTCTTGTCCCTCCTGAAGGCATCTCAAGTTTCTCACTTATGGAGGAATGCAGCTCTGTCCAGCCCATCCTTGGTTAGCCTTACATTGTACATTTGTGGGTCAGTTTTACACCCAATGTTGACTGCTCATGAATGACCCTTGTTTAATGATATTGCAGTGGAGGAAGGTGAAGTTGAAAGGATTGCATGTTAAAGACTGGAGAGGTTTGATGACTTTTCTGAGCCACATGGGGACCATGAAACTTGATGCACGGGGTCTTGTTGACCCTCACAGCACTTGGAATGGAGTGAACTCCATCTATTCCCATTGTCACATATTGAGAGAATTTGATGAATTGCTCTTTGATGCCATTCCTGACACAATTTTCAACGAAATTGCCCATCACTGTCATGGCTTAAAGATCTTTGAAGCCCAGGCTTATAGGTAAGCCCACTCATTTTCTGGTTTGAGGATTGTCTTCACTGAAAAATCTGCCATTACCCTCATTGTTGTGTCCATAGGGCCAGTGAGGGAGACTATCTTCATGTACACCGTATATGTGAATCAGTGCTGCTGCAGACACTGAGGGTCCAAGTAGCACCATATTCTGACCTATCTCTCCAATATGCATTGAACCTGAAGCACTTGGTTGACTTGGTCAGTGTCCCTTGGTTTGTTTTTTTTTTTGCCACTTTCTGAATGACCACACAAATATGATGAGATTATGGAAAATGCTTTCAATAACAGAGTCAAACAAGATCCCTTACTTGGCAGATATACCAGTGTAATAGGCATGAAGTTTCATTCCATGCTCTTGGATATCATGACATACAGGGTGTCCCATAAGCAGTAGCATAACCAGGGTTTTGCCAATGGGAACGGTGGGAGGGCTTACTTCTCCTTGCCTGGTGAAGGGGGGGTTTGTGGATGCATTTAGACCAAAGTTGAGGGGGGGCTAAAGTCCCACCAAGCTCCCACTTGCTATGCCACTGCCCATAAGTCACTATACCATTTCAAAACTTCACATCTACTAAACAGTTGGCACAAAAAAGAAGTAACAATAACTTAATGATAGCATGTCATTTGGAATTGTCTTTTGTCAAAAATGGACATATTTCTGAGTTTTGAAAGTGCCTCAAAATGCCCTCCACCTATATAAATACATTTGGCATGAGACTCAGCACAAAATATTGCAAAAACTCCCTTAGAACTCTGATGGGACTCTCAAAGACCTCCATCCAGGTGGACAGGTGGCAACTTTCCTTCATTGCTCAAGCATGAATTGTGAAGCCTTTTCTCTTGACATTGAAAGCAAATTAAGTTAAATTATTTGTTTTTCTGTTTCTCAAGTCTGTCTGAAATTAAAAGAGAAATACATTTAGTTTAGGAATTTTGTTAGAAGGGGATTCAACTAGGTGTACCATAAATCACCTTGAAGAAGTACACCTTTTTTAAAATATGCTTTTGAAGCAATTTCTGTTTGAGTCTGATTCCAAGTCATAATTGTGAGAAAAAAAATCTGAAGAACATTCTTTCCATCAATGCTAACAAGTGACCTGCTTGTTGCAGTTTGGAAGATATTGCAGTTTGAAATGGTATGGTGACTTACAGGACACCCTGTAATAATGACAAAAAGTGTAAAGCATAGCATGATTTGAACATTTTAAAACAGATTTTTAATTTTTCTTGTGCTTTGTTCTCTTTGTGCTTATCTGAATCAGGCTGGGGGTGGCAGGGGGAGAGGAATCTTTGAGGGTTTTTGCACTAGACTGAATTCTGCAACCCAAAAGGATATTTTAAAAGTTGAAATTCATGAAGTATGAAAAACTGTTGTTGGTAAAACCTCTTGTCCAAGGTGTAAGTGGACTACACTATCTTTTTGATGTGATCTGCCCAGTGCATGAAAATGCTAGGATAATATCATCCAAGTTCAGACAGTACCTATGGGCAGATCAGTCATGTGAGTCTTTTAAAGCTCTCAATTAGGGATGACACTTTTTATTGGGTACAATGTAAATGAGTCAACAATACTGCTATGATACTTGAAATCTTCTTGCTGGAACATTTCAAGGTTACTTATATATTTCCTTTGGAATTTTTTTCAGCATTTGAGCAACTTCAAGGATCTGAAGCCTGAGCTTGTTGGAGATCTAAAAGATGCCTTGAGTCTCAAGACACTGACATTAGGTGCAGTGCCTTCCTGGAAGTCTGAGGATTACTTAATCCTTAATTCCTTACATTCTCTGGTCTCTCTGCGGCTTGAAAAAGGGAATTCCTCTGAGGATTCCTTTCATGGAAACATTCTCCCACTTCTCAGGCAACTTCAGAACTTGGAACTGGTGGATTTCATAATCTCCCAAAGCTTGTGTGATGCATTTACAGCCATGGTATCCCTCAAGAGGCTCACCTTGTGGCCATCCTATCACAGTTATAATCAGGTGAGACCTGGAATGGGATATTGCTTTTTAGTGTGAATGCTAGTTTCTTATATTGCATTTACTGAGGAACTACACTTTTCATTTAATAAGTTAATGGTCCTGATATTACAAGAACATGTGAAAGTCCTTTAGGCAAGAGAGGTTCTTCACGTATATACAGTTGATTCCACATTTTGGAATACTCCCAGGACCAGCAAACTTTATTCTATAATCTGGAGTATTCCAATAACTAAAACCATCTGCTGTATCATGTTGTAAATCAGGACCGTGCAGTGGTATTCCATTATGCAGAATCAACTGAATAAAAATTATTTACACTTTTTTTTAAGCAGGCCTAATGCCATCTTGTACATACAGGGTGGGCCAAAAAAAGTAGGTTATCTTTATCACTCCACAACATTGGTCCTCAAGAGTTTGCCCTAGAGAATTGCTATAGCACATCCTAGTAGGACATTCATTCAGCTTTTCAATTACATCAATAGAATAAAGATTTGTGGCATAACTTTCATGCAGTTAAGTAAAGAGTATAAGAGGTGGTGCTAGAAAAGTGGGCAATGTCCTGGCAAGCTTGCGAATGTGCAAGTAAAGAAATGGACATCACCTGGATTGCATCTTATCAAATAGGGTACTGCAAAGTGCACTTTTCAAGTTTTACCTCTGTTGCACTGTATGTAACTGCATCAGAATGACAGAATGGATCTTAAACCATTTGACATCAGTGGAAAGCTAGATGAATGTTCTTTATAAAGATGCATTGCAATATTTTCAATCTCTTGAGAAACTACACTGTGAAGTGTTGAAGATAACCCAATCTTTTTTTGCCCACCCTCTAATAACCTCAAGTGATCTTACATTTTATGAACCTATCAAAACATGAGGCAGACTGATCTTTAGTTGGTAGGTTTCACTATAGATTGTGTCTTCCTCCTCCATCTTTCTGACAGGAAGAGAATGGGTGCCAGAACAGCAGAATTTTAGACTGCCTGAAGAACCTGAGAGGTGTGAAGTGCATCTCTTGGGGGTTTCATTCTCTCAGTCACGAGGAGTTGACTTTGTCGAGGCGAGGGAGAGACCTCAAGAGCTCAGCATATGAGAAAATGATATGGATGAAAAATGCAACTAGTATGAGTCCAAAAGAACTTCATATTCTTCTCTGTGATTCCAATCCTGAGGATGTGGAAATTGAGATACTATTTCGACACATGATTCCTCTGTGATTTTTATGTCTCCATTTCAGATGAAAAAGGCTTTGTCTAAGATTGTTTTTGTAAAATACTTTTTTTGATGGAACAATGTTTTCATTTAAAATATGAAACTATCTGGTTTTATTTGATTGGACTACAACATGCAACAAGTGCAAAAGTCCATACTAATGGTCGTATGCTCAACCAAATCATGCAAGTGCTGACACAAAGGGAATTCCCCTGTTTTACTTGACACAGAGACAGCTCATCAGAAATCACTGAACATTTAAAAGAAAACCAAACCAAAAGCACACATCGATGAGTATCGAACAACTGTACTATGACCACTGTCAAAATTTCACATTGGCTAACGATTCTATTTGCTTCTGAGTCTCAACAAGCTTGGCAGCAAGTCTGTCACGTTTTCGGCGCAGCCAATCCATACGATATTCCTTGAGCTTGTAACCAACAACAATGCCAAGTGTGAATCCAATAAATGCAGCTGAAACAGCCAGCCAGTTTTTAGCCATGTTCACATACGTTACACTCTTGACAGCTCCTCAAAGAAAGAATTTACTTCATATGTGGTGTGTATCATCTCCAATCTGTAAAGAGCATATGCATACCAACATGACATTCATAATTTCATGCTTCCAGCTTCTTTGGGATGTCACAGTTTGCTTCTTAAGTGTTTCATGCATTGGAATCTCATCTGCAATTTATAATACTAAATGATTCTCATGGGAATGATTTATGTTATGTTAGATGAAGAGATACCAGGAGCAATCAAAGTTTCTGGACAAAGGACAGATCAGATGGTTATATAGAATATAGCTCAACTTATTCTTATTTGTACAAAGAGTATATGCCCATCATGACTTTCTGACCTATAAGTTCTTCTGTGCCAAAGGCTGAGAGCCTGTGGGAGCCATTCTACAGACATGGAGGTTTGCCTCACTGAATAATAAGAAAAGAGGCCACACACTTTTGCTTTCACACTCAGGTTCCCAAGCTATAGGATCATCAAGTTTCAATCTGAAATGCTTCAGCATAAATTCCTCTGCATAAATTATATCTTGAAAACTCTTTTGATTGCAAGAGGCAGCCAACTCAACTTGAGTTGATTGGAATCAAAGAAACAGTGGAAAATGTTGCTGTTTTTTAAATTTTTTTTTTTTTAAGTCATCATTTGAGATGGTTGTCATATCATTTTTTGGATATTGACAAATGGGATATGATTCAAGAAAGCTTTGGAACCATTGCTCTCATCTATTCATCAGTTAAACTGGTATGTCACATGCAGTCACTCAACTCCTATTATGCTGATATTTTTTCAGATGCACCCTAGGGTAGGGGGTTTTGCCGAAAGTTATTTCTGTTTTCCTAAGAAAAGCTTAGATTCTAATAGTATGACATACAAGAGTAGTTGTGGTAGTATTCTATGATCTAGAATACTAAGACAAGGACATGGCATAAATTGCAGCCTTTATGGTGTTGTGGGAGAATCACTGGAGCAGTGTTGAAACTTCATCTGCCTCATGCACAGAAAAGGTACCTTTTATTACTCCACTTATGACTGTCACTTTTTATTCAGACAACCTCAATGCCTGAAACTTTCAGGAAACAATTTTTTTTGTATTTCCAATATAATACAAAAAAATCATGAACCAAAATCTGGGGTTTCATAACTGAATGCTTTTTCTGAACTGAATGCTTTTTTTTGTTGCACCACCTGGTATATTGCCATATATTTATTTATTTATTGTCTTTGTCTTCTATAATCAGTATAGTATAGGATACATGACAAGTCTTGTAGGAGTCTTGATAGGATAATGAAAGATAGATAAGTTCATCAAGCCTGCTTCTTCTCAACTGCTAACTTTTTTATTATGGATTTAAAGAAAAATATTTGAGGAGATACCACTCTTTATATATGGGTCAAGATCCAGGACCTGGATGATCTTTGGATGCAACTTGACTTACCTCAAAGAAGTGGAGTTGAATGTACAAATTTACATCAGTATATGACATGGTGCCAGTGGTAGAAAAATGCTACTCATTAATGGGTTGGCATCTATGGATTCATTACTGGAAACAGTTTTTGCTTTTAGAGCATTGGAAGTTTCTCATTCCCACTTCCATCCCATGAATTAACAAAAAAGATTTCAGCATGAAAATTGATCTTTATATCAAACTATTAACAGGACAACAACCCATTTCTTCCATGAGACTGAGGTGTATTAGTCAACCTTAACTCTTTAACACATTATATAAGTTCAAGCACAAAATCAGGTCAATGGTTTTTCATTCAGCTATGATACTGACCCAATATATTCTCAATGTTCTCAGTTGGTAACAAGCATTCATTTAGAAAATATATATGTTCTTCCAAATCAGGAATATCATATTTAATAAAATCTTGTTTTACCACACAGTGCACCTTTGGTCATTATACAGGATTATCCCTTCTGGGACAGAAGGAGGTACCCAATTTCATTCCTCAAATGCAAGGTACCCACATGTGGCTTTAGAATACACTTACATGGGAAAGGAAGGATAGGCCTAGAAGTTTTGTCTAATATTCAATGTGTCCACCTTCCCTGTCAAACTTCTGGAGACGTGTAAAAAAACTGTCCATCACATTTTTACAAATTGCAGGTGAGACACTTTGAACACTAGCGATGATGTGATGCCATAGGTCATCCAAAGACTGTGGGTGCATAGCATAGACTCAGTCTTAAGGAAACCCAACAAAAAATACTTTTTTTGTAACAATTTTGTTACTTGCCTCCAGAAGTGTGGTTGACATGGAAAGTGGACACATTCAATATTAGAAAAAAACTTCAAGGCGTATCCGTCCCTTCCTATGTAAGTTTATTCTAAAACCATGTGTAAGTTTAATGCCTTCAAGGAATAAAATCAGGTACCTCTTTCTGGGACACTTTGTATATATAAAATAATCTGGTATGTTCCCAATCGATAACACGGTGCAGTGAAGGGTAAACCTCTTCAAACCGACAACAAATAGAACCAATAGGATTTGACGTGTACATGGCACTCCGATCCTACGAGGTTAATCCCGAGTTGTCCAACATTCGGAAAGGAATACATTCGAAGCGGCAATGCACTTAGCAAGATCTAAATATATTCAAATGATGTAAGTTCACAATACAAATGCAGCATCTTGAGGCAATTATAAGTTAGAAAAATTAATAGTCAAGTCCATGCAGTTGTGTAGGCCAAGTGGGCTCTCGATATGGGAAAGGCTCGGCACGTGGTTCATGCATATCGCCATGATGAAGATGGTAGCTCCTAGCTTGGGCGCGGGTGAATGGTAGGTTATGCCAAGTTCTGTAGACCGGTGGGTACAGCCAGTGGTTCGAGAAATGAATCGCCCGTGTCGTTGCATGCCATTTGCTACGTTCTCATTGCCTTATTCTTCGGCAGTGAAGCATCTCCTTTGTTCTAAGTCTTTAACTACAACTAGTGTACCATCAAACAATGCTAAGTTTGCCTAACTCCAAGGCCCATCTGAGGTCTTTTCAACACTAACTACTTCATGAAGAAGTCCTTGGTCCCAAATTTTGCAGATCTGGATGTACTCGTGCATACATTTGGCAAAAGGGTTTGGCATTTCTTGAAATAAGTCAAATGGGCCTTTGCATCATTTGAAGGAAAATATTGGAATGATAGTATGACTTTCTTTTTATTGCCCCAACCCCTCCCCTCTCCTATGTTATAGGAGTGCTGTCTATCATTGAATCTTGTATTGTTGAAGCCACTTTAAATCAAATAATCACATCGCTTAAGGTTGAGTAAGTGTAATGTTGAACACATGTAGCACTGAAACACATGCAATAAAAAATGGATTTTACAAATATAAAGCTATATTAAAGACAGCAGGAATGATACATGATTTGATATTCTGTTTTTGTGTTTTTGACACTATGGGATTTGCAGAAAGAACATTTTTCTGACTGAATTTCTATCCTACAAGATTCAACACTTAGTAAGTGTGACACTGTGATTCACACTGATTCTATTTCATTGCTTGGAATATCAGTGATAATTTTCGACAGAACATGATCCAATGCTATGGATTTTCAACACTGTGTTATCAATGATATGAGATTCATCTGTACAAGTACAAAGTCTGGTTGCATTTTTCTCTTCACCTGCAGCTTTAACAAAAACGTTGCAAACTTATGTGATACCTTAGAAGAAGACTCGTTTTATTGTGACTTCATCTAGATAATAGTTTGTAAGGCATCTTTCTTGGCTTGAATTTACTGCCAATAACTTTCAAGGAAGGTAACAAAGAGTTCCATGTCCTCTTGCAGCATCACATTCAAGTGTCATTGGAGCCTTGCATCACAGATGCCTCTGCAACTCTTACAAAGTGAAAAGCAACATGGATGCATTGCTTCTGGATTTACTTTTCCACCATTTCCATGTGCTATTCTATGATCTCTTCAGTCAAGTTGTGCAGTGGCAGTTTTCTTTCCCAGGGAGGGATGTTATTCCATTGGCTTTACTTATCAGTATACCTCTTTACATATAGTGATTATTGTAATTATTTGGTGTCTCTCCAGTACCATAGACGATGCATGGGAAGAAAGATATGTGGGTAAAGTCAAACTGGAAACACTATAATTTGGTGGATGTATTGATTCATTTAAAGTCTCCAATAAGCATGGCCATCTCTTGCAGGACTAATGATGACTGAAATCACAATTCAACCTTCAATTAGATTACCTTGAATAGATTTTCCCTTTCCCCTATTGTTTATCCAGCAGGGCAGGGGGGGGGGGGGAGAAATGCATTCTTGCACTCTGTGCATAATTGCCACTTCAGTCCCTGACTTGCCTGGGGGTTTGAAGAAGGCAGATCTTGTTTAAGTTCCAAGACTGGCCTCAATCAGAAGGAAGTAGGGGAGTGCAATCATATGAAAATCACTGAACAGTCCAGCAATGACTCTGGATAGGAATCTTATGTATGGTGGAAGGGTATTCCAGTTCCATGCTGTCCCAGGGAAGAAACCATTTTGAAGTTATGCAGTTCTTGTATTAATTTGATGCACTGACAAACTTTTGCATGCCTTTACTCTTTCTGTTTGATTTTCTATAAATAAACTTTTCGAAAGGTGTGGTTTGCTATCCAGAATTTTGTCAGAAAGAACCAACCAGGCCTTTTCTATGCTTAATGTTTAAGATCTTCCATTTCAGGACTTACTCTTGTGCATGAGTCAATGTCCCAATTGTAGTCAGTGAAAGTAGCAGAAGATGGTAAGTGCATATATGTTTATCAAGGGTTTACTCAATATATCAAGAGCAATTTTTTGTGCATTAGATATTTTCCCCCCTCCCCTGTACTCCCATGGACTACCAAAAACAATAATGTAGAGGGCCAATTCAAAATTCTGAAGACCAGGACCTTGACAATCATTCCTAAAAAGGTTTATGATTCACCATAGCTCAGGTATCATTTAAAAGTCAATGGCAAACTTTTCATTTCTCTTTAATTCCACTTCAGAGGGGTACCTATACCCACCCCTACTTTCACAGAAATTCAATGACATTTTTCAGTTTTTTAAATCTTACAGCTCATTTTTATTGCAGACAAAACTTGACACTCTTAGTGCCGTACTTTGCAATGAGGGATGTGCAAAAAGTGTCAGGTGTGTTTAGGTAGAAGTCTACCACACTCTAGTACAGGCTTCCCAACCTTTTTTACGTGCAACCCCCAAGATCACAATCATATCATTCAGGACCCCAAGCACTGGATGAACAGGCTCCCCCACCTATGAGGTAGAACCACAAAGAAAAAACATTACTTTGCATTTTGTTGCCAGTTCATGACCCCAAGTATGATCTTAGCAACCCCAAATAGGTTGTGATCCCTGGGTTGGGAATCCCTGCTCTAACACTCCCTAACACTGCCCTCTGTCAGCCCTGTAGGGAAGCAGCAGCAAGAAAATATTGTGGCCAAAATTTTGGCCCATGGCAATTTTCACACAACCTGGGTCTGGACAGTATATCAACTTATGGTACTAAGAGGGTTAATATTGTTTTTCATGTTCCCAACATTGGGAAAGGTTGACTCACACTGGTACATGTAAAATCATTGCTTTCAAATTAGCTCTACAGTGAAGGTATGTTGCAAAATTCCAAGAATTGCTTCTCCATTATCTAATTGATGGGCAATGTTTTCCTCTTGGAGAGATAGGCCAAAATTCTTCCTAGCACCCATAGCTCTCTCCCCAATTTCTCAGGCTCTCACAGCACACAAGTTGAGAATGGCTGGCACAGAGTTGCTAAGGAGCTGGAACTGGAATTCATTATGTCATTCCCACTCCTCCCACTCTGGTGCCATTACTTCACTGCACATTCAAGCTATGTTAATGTTGAAATTCATCTAGGTATGGGGCTAATCACTTGGAAAGAGGTTGTAGCTAAAGATTAGCTCTTCTCTTGTCTCCTGGACCTAAGGATCAACAGCTGGCTTCTCTGGGTATATCAGCATAAAACTCCTGCCTCTTGGTTAATCTCTGATAAGGGCTGCTCTGCATCAAGTTGAGCACAATAAAGTTCATTGCTGGCATGTTCTAGATCTCCTGATTATGTTTTTTATATCATTGAATTTCTATTTCTGCCACAGAAATACTTAATCTCACTGTTTCAGTCTTTGATGACCCACAGAATATTCTACTTGCACTTGGTACCATCAGATGCATTCTCATAATACTTTAGTTACTGTGTACAAGTCAGACTCTACTTTTCAGCCAATTTCTTCCTAGTCTCCTTTTTCATTTCAGCTGCAGCTCAGTAAATATCCCTATTCATCTTATAGAAAAATGGGATCATCATGGGTCACCTACAGATGCCTGTTAAAGGAAGGTTCTTTTAAGAAAGGGACAAATCAATACATCATTTATAATGATTGAAAATAATTTGTTATGGTTTAATTTTGGAATATCATCTGTTTCAGGTTCTGTGATTGTGCTGCATATTTTGTAATTTGGCACATGGGAAGAGGATGACAGACTCAAATCAAGTAAAAATCAACCTTGTGGCTTATTCAGATGATGATTCCTCCACTTCATCAACGATGGAATCTCCCTGTGCATCTGACAAAGACATGACTAGGATTGACAATCCAGTGGTAACTGATCCTCTACCACAGTCCAACATTATCCCATTGCAAGTACAAGGACCTGAAAATGGAGGGCAGATAAACTCATTCCATGCAGTTGAAGCAACATCTGAACAAGTAGATAAAGAATCTCCAGAACTAGTTACAAAAGCAGATGAATTTGTCCAACCAGAGCTTGATGATGTCCAAATCACAAAAGAGACTCAAAATTCAGACCTTGTCTGGACATTGCCCTTGATTCCTGAAAATCAGTCAAGGATGGAGAGGAAGGAAGAGGACTGGAGTTCTCAGGCCACATATGGTTCCTCTGAACGTGATGTCCCTTCCCTTTCTGGTATGAGCCCAAGGAGTGTAAGTACTACAGATGTTGGGGATGCTTGCATTGAGGATATAAAAGATGTCATGCAAGTAGATGAGCTTGCAGAAGATGCAGCTGCTGAAGGACATGATGAACCTGTGGAGGATATCCAAGAGAGTGCTTTACACGATGAACTTCCTGAAAACCCAACTTTTCGAGAAGAATCTGAAGAAACAATGGATAATGATGAAGGTGCGATGGATGTTACTGGAGATTCCAAATCATTTCAACCTGTGGATATCAGTTCATCATGTGCCATGGATGGAATGAGGAACACTTTGGAAGAAAGTGAAGAAGCCATGGAAAGTGACCAAGAGCCAACTGAGGGTAAAAGTGAATCACAAATGAATCAAAGTGCAGTCTCCATAAGTGTTGAGGATTCTAGCTTGAACAATCTTACTGATGCATCTAAAGTATCACATGTAAATAAGACTTTCATGGGCACTCTATATACTGATGACTCAAATGCTCTCAGCGAGTTTCCAAAATTTTCAAAAAATAATGGAGATGAAGAAAATTTGGTAGAAGATACAAGCCGGTCAAGCATTGAGAATTCTTTTCAGGATTTCACAGAGGAGCCATCACATCCATGTTCACCCTTTGAAGTTCAGCCTCCTCCTAGATCTGCAATCCTTCCAGATGAAGATTCACAGGGCAGCTCTCTGAGTCAGAGGGTGAAGAAGCCCCGAAACATGGAGATTGATGTTTTTTATCAAGGCCCAAAACAGAAAGTATTCACAGCAGATGCAATTTATATGTACCAGTGGCCTCCTGGAGATCCAAGGAGTGAGTTTTTTGTACTCCAGGAGCATATTGGAGAATTCCTTGGAATCACATCTTTTAAGAGGAGATATCCTAAGCTGTTCCGCCGCCAATTGGAATGTGTAGAGAAGACATTCCTGTTAGACAGAAGAGTTGTCACAGAGCAGCAGGGCAATCTAGGTGAGTTTTTGTGGGCTGTTAGTGAAGACATGCCATAAGGGTACACTCATTCCAATACTAAGTTGCTGGTAGCTTGGACATTAATATCAGAGAGTAAGTTAACCCATTATCTACTAGCGTCCCAAAATTGAGATGGTCGAAAATTATGCTCTCATTTTATATCAAACACTGTAAATGATTTGAGCATGGCAGCACCCATTTCCCAAGACTGTATCTCATGTGTCTGAGTAAAATTTTGGAAATATTCACATAAGTAAGGTTGTCATTGGGGATTTATTGGGATGGCTTACAATTTAGGTGGCCCAGAATGGCACATGAAATACCTCACCACAAATCAGCTGGATGGAGACCTTAACCAGGTCTAATTTTGATCAAAGTTGGCAGAGATATAGTGAACCTGATTTTCAGAAACTAGTTTTAACCATTTATTTATTTATTTTCCCATTCTCAATATATTACTTTAACTATTACCTGTTTTTAGTTACAAGCATAAACTCAGACTGGAACTGTGGAATTGTTCAAGCTATAACTTTCCTCTGGATGAAAATAGAAGCTTCATTCTGGTGTGAAATTAGTGAGAAATTTACATATTTGCAAAATTGCTCTCTTTTCAAGAGTACAGCAAAAACAATTTTTTAGTGCCTCAGGGAGGCACTAAAAAATTCTGCTTAACCGAAGAGTTTGATGATCAAAGTTTAAGATAGTTTAAAAGTCTTGAAATATGTGAAAACCAAAAAGTTTTCCAGAAATGTCAAAAATTTTGCTGTGATTATTATTGATGAAAATACAATTCAAATAAGATTTTAAAATATTATGTATATATGATCTGAATAAGGTAAAATTAAAATAATTAAAATGCAATCAAATCCAGTATTATTTAGAAGTAACTATTATATGGTGAAATAAACAATTTTGTAACATGTGGGTAATATCAGGCCTGCTAAACATTTTCATGCCAAATTTAAACTCAGTATCTGAACTTGAGTGTTAATGGGTTAATATGTCAGCCTATCAGCAGATGCCTATGTTACTGATACCAAATTGCACAAGCAGGAATGAGAAAAGGTAAATAGTTCCTCAGGGAATTTTATCTCCATGATCATACCTATGAGTCAAACAGAAAGAGCTCATTACCCTCACTCTTATCCAAAGAGGGGGGGGGGGGTGAGCAAGGTAGAGAGAGGGGCCTGCTACAATCAGAGGAGGGCAAACCCTCCCCGTATGCCCCACTGCTGCCTACCCAGTTTTTTACCCTATGAGCTGCCACTGAGAAAGTAAATCATGTTGGGCTTTGTCACTTTTAAGTTGTGCATAGTTACTGTGCTGTCTCTTGCTTTATGCTCTCCTGACTTTATTATTGCCATAGAGTTAGTGAAATCAATTCTGACTCAATCATAAAGTCTGCTCCCAATATCACAAATGAATATGTGGAAATCCAAGCAATAAGGAATCCAATCTGCCTTCACAAACCAAATAACACCCATGTCCATTCTCAAAAGGTGAAGAGACAGTGTTTGTCTTTTCTTCTCAAATGGCATATATCCCAATTAATTTCAAAACATTGGCAAGAGGTGGATTTTAAGCTCAAGGTGGTTGAAATTTGTCTCACTTACTCTATTCTCCTAACAGGACTTACAGCATTAAAGCAAGAGGAGGTGTTGGATATCCTCAGTGCTGACTTCCCTGACAAGTTTCAGGAAGTGATGAAGGTCATACAGGAGAGAAAACGTAAAACACTTGCTGAGAAGCAGGCCTTAGGCCCACCAGCTTGTATGTCTGTCCTGACTGTTAATATCCATTCTTTGCATAAACATTATTACTTTCATTAATGGACTGAATACTTTTGTTCCAGTCTTGCCCATACTGCCAACTCTTCCTTTGGGGATATCAGATAAGGGAAAGATGGAAGATAATGCAAAACGTGCAGTTCGAGCAGCAGCTGAGTGGAATGCTCACTTCAACCGAGAAAGAAGGGAGGAACGCCGGGCATTCCTTGACCTTCAGACTTATACTGTCCATCATCCTGTGAACAAGTACAAGCGTGCAAACAAAGAAGACACCAAGATGGGGCTCTACCCTATTGCCCTTGTCCCTGGGCAGTTTTGTGATAACTACAAGATGTGAGTCAAGATCATATGTTTTTTCTTGAATTTAATGGTTCTTGTAATGGAATCCATGTTATTTTGGACTTTTGATTTATTCCTTCAATAGGTATACTCCTGCAGAACTAAAGTACATGCCTCTGAATACAGTCTTATATGGACCCATGCAGAAACCTGATTCAGAGGGGGAAGAAGAAGATAACAGATCTCAATCTGACAGCGAAGATTCATCATCAGACGATTCAAGGTCATACCACAGTCATACCTTTGCATACTATTTTAACACTTTCTGGACAACAGGACAGCATAGCCATTCCTCACATTTTTTCCTCACCAGAGGACAGGATGCATAACTGTCCAAATGATTAAAATCAACAGGAAATCAATGGTATGCTCTGCAAGCCCCACATTTGCTCCAAAGATATGCTAGGTCCTTGTACTTCATTTTGCCACCACAGTCTACTACTACTGCTGAAACCAACATCTGCTACAGCATGTTGTACCCAGAAACTGTCATCCAGGAAGTGTTCCCAGGGGGGGGGGGAATGGAGTAAAATTCATCAAGGCCAAGTCAAAAAGTTACCCAATTAAAAATACTTAGTATATAGACCTACCTCTTGTTTTGATTCTTCATGCAGTTCTTCCAGTCAGGAAGGCTCTGATGAAACTGGTTCAGCAAAGGGAGATGGAATGAAGACTGAGAGTGATGAACTAGAGGAACCTGAAACTGGTGGCCCAAAATGCAAAGTGTGCTCTGGGACAAGACATCATAATAAGCTTGGAAAGCCTGAGGAGCTTGTAACTTGTGCATCTTGTGAGCAGAGTGGTAAGTGATTGGTTGCATTCTTCAGGGAATATATTTAGAGCTGATTCTATTTCATCGGTGATCAAGTGCCATCAAATTTTTATTTCTGTTACTGATACCTTACTATTTAGTGCTGGAACTCTCATCAGTATCAATTAATCCATCCATTTTTGCAAGACCTTTGAGAGGAAAGTGAATTTGAGGGAGGGGGTAGGAGCAGAATATTTTATGGTGCAATGTAGCTTGTTTTGGTGCTATCATGGGTGTGTTCAGGAACTGCTCCTCCTCAAAAGAGGTATGATGTTATCTGTTGGAGAGATTATGATCTCACACCCATCAGCTAATGCTGATTGTGAGATGTAGATAAAGAGAGCAGAAGCATGATATCAAATACTCATTTAAATAGGCCTATTAGGAAACTATGTTCTTTCTTTTAGGTCTGTCACAATGGCTGTTTGAAATCATCAATATTAACCCTTTTGCTGCCAAAGGTGACTTCAGTTGCCCATGGCTCTCTTACTTCTTCTAACTTTAGGCAGAAAAAGGGTTAAATTGAACTATCAATGGTGCACTGATGTATCACAGGAGGAAGGGTAGAGGTAGTAACAGCAGATTCAGTCATCTCTTGTCCATATTGGAGTAGGGGATGGAAGTGTGACAATTGCAATGGGTAGTAAAGCCATTGATGCCTCCATCTTTTGACAATGACATGAATTCATTGATTGATGCATTGTGACAGCCCTATTTTTTCCTATTGCTTTTGAGAATCAATTATCTAGCTGTGTTCACATGTCTTTTTTTGTTATTTGTTCTTCATACATCAACATTGGTAGCATGCAAACCTGCCAGTGGTTGCCATTGCATCATACAGCCCTAGTTTAAATGTTATTTAGCATTGTAATTAAGATTGGTTTTGCATCTTACCTGCAAAGGAATCTAGGATAAGTCGATAGGGACCCTTCACATGCAAGTCAGTGTTACCAGAAGGCAAAAAATAAAAGCCATTTAAGGAGCATCATGGTGTGCACCCTACATTGCACCAATGACTCTTGAAATTTTGAATACATAGTTGATCTTACTGAACCCTGACAAGATTTATTTAGAAACGTAATTGCTGGGATAATTTCAATCTGAATTCAAATCTATGCTGTTACAAGGCTCAAGATCATGATTGCTCTCTTGCATACTCACTCAAGCCACCATGTAAAACACCAAACTTGTGTTAAATAAAATAAAAACTAATATATTGCTTTAAGAAGAAGCCTTCCCCACGGTGCTTTCATACATGGAGGAATTGTAATTTCACTGTCACATTTCAAAAGAATGGTGAGAAAGCAGCCAATTCCTTATGCTGTAGGAGTGACATTTATCTTGCCTGTCACAGATTTTACTGGTTCTCACATATCTTTTTGGTTCCCATTCTTTGTTTTCAGGGCATGTGAGTTGCTTGGACCTTATGCCAGAGATTTTGGCAAAGGTGACAAGCTATGAATGGCAATGTATGGAATGCAAAACATGTGTTCTCTGCAAAGATGCTGAAGATGAAGACAAGATGATGTTCTGTGATCTCTGTGATCGCGGGTGAGCCTAGATTCTCATCCATGCTCTTGCATGCAGAGACTACTCTTACAAGACTTACTCTTTCCCTTGTCATTTCACTGAAACTTTCATCACACATTCCCATTCCAGGTATCACATATATTGCATTGGACTAAGGAAGGTTCCTGGAGGTAGGTGGCATTGTGTTGAGTGTGCCATTTGTGATTCTTGTGGGACAAGGAATGCAGGAGGATCAGATGAAGAGCGTCTTGCCAATTGGCAGCATGAGGCTTGTCCCTTGCTTTCATTCATGATTCCTTGAAAGGCAGAATAGCAGCTTGGCTTATAGACCACATATTTTCTGCTTTCAGTATGAACGAGGTAGCAAGGCAGAGGACACTAAATACAGTCACACATACTGTCAACCTTGCTACAGGTGAATCTGGTTTTATTTTTTAAATCATCTTTTAATAATTATTTTGTGAGAATATACCAGTGCATCATTTCATATTTTCTACCAACAGGTTGTATCGGAAAGGCAAATATTGTGTGCATTGTAAAAAGTGTTCTGCCACCATTGAGGAAGAAGGCGTCATCAGATGTTCTGCTTGTGAGCATTTTGTTCATGAAGGTAAGATGTCATGCAAATTACATGGTAGTTAAGGAGAGAGCTAGGCTGTAGGGTTAGAACTTACTCTATTCTCACTCACGTTGCAGAATGTGGTGGAAGATTAGATGAAATTCAAGGTCAAGGAGAAAACGAGAAGAAGCGCTTCCTCTGCAATTCCTGCCGGTTGAATCCTTCTGGTAGAGGATTCAGGACTCCCAGCAAAAAGAAATTTTAAAATTTTTCTTGTTTCATCTTTTGTTAGATGGCTTCCTTGGGGTAGCTCTGATTTATTACAATTTTTTTACTGTGATTCTGTTCTTTTCTTTTTGTTTGGCCTATTGTCATGTGTGGCCTAGCATCATACAGTTCAGCTAAATTCTATATTTGGAATTAAATCTCGGGTCAGTTCAGAGTGTCACATCCAGTTGTTGGTGAGAATACTGTCAGGCTGGCCAATGATGTTTTTTTTGTTTTTTTACTTTACATTAGTCCTTAATACCCATTTTCACCCATTGTGGACAATTATTGGGTTTTAACTTGTTGGCTTTCTTTTGCCAAAGATGGATCTCACTTTTAAGAATGAACCTTTTAGAAGCTAAAGCTGAGCTCTTGACCAGTAGCAGGCAATACTGCCGTATCTATTTCATAAGTTTTTTCCCTTTCTGTGATTTCTACTTATGTCCTTTTCTTGTATGCTGAATCAAAGATGAAACAACTTTCCAGCCAAATGTAATGCATCATCGATGCAAAACAGTTCCAAGGGATGAAGGATAAAAAAAAATTAAAAAACAGCAATTCCCTGGTGAAGTTCAGTTTTATTTGGAAAGGTATATATTTTGTGTAGACTTTCTGCTACGATGTAAACTTTCATGGATCTGGAATAAAGAAGCTCAAACCTGTGGCCCAGCCACATTACCATTTTTTTCTGTAATCTTTCTGGTGAGTGACCAATAGAGCACTAACAAAGGGTTGAAGATGGTTTTTTGAAATGAAAAAGATGCTTTTTAAAGGATTGAATCACTGGATGGATCAATGATTGGTAGTAAGTTTAATTTTACTGCTTCTAGTCTCCAAACACTGCTTCAGATCAAATTACTACTTTTTATTAAATAAAAAAAATATTGTAAGAGACACCTCAGAAATCTATGTGGAAATGAAAAGGTAGGGGAATCTAAGTTTCTTCTTTATTGTGTTTATCTGTCACTGCTTTTCCTCCCAGAAAATGCATTTAGCCTGCTTTTTTCAGCCCACTCTGAAAAAGATAAGTTAGAAAGTGGTAAGAGGGAAGGATAATATGTCAACTAAGAGTCTATCTATGTGGGGTGCTTGAATGGCATGAGGTAATCAAATTTTCATTCAAGGTTGATGTAAGTACAGTATCGCCGGATATCCTGATTCAACTAGGGACAGCTTCACTTTTTTTGTTATAAATGTTAATTGTTTTTCATTTTTGGCAAAGATTTAGCAGGAAGAGTTAGCAGTAAACTCCTGCTAGCCCTATCACCTTGGATGGAAGAAGTGGGGATTTCTCAAGGTGCATAATCTAAAAATGGTAGCCACAATTTGTCTCACCAAACAGCTCACAATGTTGGAGCTTTGGCCTCTTTCTGGGTGAAACAATTAATTGGGAAAGAGAAACAGGGATTCAGTTCTTATTCAAGACAAACTTATAATTCTACCACAATAACAGTCTTCCTCTCAATGCCACTTCTGTGCCTTCCATTACTGATGGCTTCATGAGAGAATCTGCAAAATGCATGTTTATTTATATAAGTCCATTTAAATGGAACCATACGGAATAATCAATATTTTCCTTTTTTCAGATTCAGATTTATGAGGGTTAAGTGAAGATAATGCATTTATCCAAAGACAAAAGGTTGCAAATCATTTTTATGTGTGGTTCACATACCACAAGGCAGACAGCTGCAGACTTTAACAAAACCAATCCAAATCATGAACCCATTACTCACAGTATTTTATTACTCCCTATGGTTCCATTTAAGTGGACCACCCTGTAGTTTATATTATTTTGGAAGAAAGACTGCTTCTGTCCTATTCTGCCTCTGCAAGAAGTGTTTTGCATCTGTGCCTTCTAGATTACCTATTATTCTAATAATAGGTGTGTTTCTTTCCCTAATGTGTATATTCTTTATTTATCTCTGGGGGTGAATTTTTTGGTGAGACAAGCTATACCTAACTGCCACAGAGTATTTCATGCTACATTTTAGATTTTAATCTCTTAGAAACAGGCTGTTCATTCAAAAAATGATAATGTGAGCGAATGCAATGGGGATCAAGAGGTCAAGGTTCCTTCATCTACTACCAGCATGGTGGACAGACTTGGGAGCTGTCAATACAAATTATTGGATTTTAGGATTTGAAATGCCTTTTTCTTTGTTACTTCCTTCTTTAATGTAGAGCCTGCATATCCAACTCCATTTTCATCGCAGTGACTCCAAGACCAATATGATGTGCCAGTTTGAAAGCAAAATGAATCAAAACAGGCTGTATTAAGCAACACTCTATATCCTTCCTACCTTCATGTCTTCACCTATGCAAGGAACTTGTATTTCATAATTGTCTTATTATTTCTTTCATTTTCTCCTTTTAAGGATTTTACACACAATTAATCTCTTTGTTGGTATGACTTGTTGAAACCTTCACCAAAATTTGCCACAAAGCATGTTGCTCTCTACTGCTCTCTACATGAATAGCATTTAGGAATGAATAGAAAGTCCTGTTCCTTTGTTGGCCATGAAAGGCAAAAAGGACAGAGATGTAACTTTACAATAATCAAGATGGAAACACTTTGGCCAGGACTTGAATATTATCTTTAAAATGGTCTATGAATGGTGTAACATTCTTCTTATGATGTGCATTTTTTCAAAGTGATATGGATGGCACATGAAAGCAGCTCCAATATGATCACTTCATTATCAATGCAAAAAAAAGGGGGGAAAAAGCTCTCCAATGCCAGTTATTGGGGGATGAAGGTCTGTTGAATACTTAGGATGCATCCAGGATCTCCAAATCCATGAACAGGCACAAATGCAATATGAGGGAAATCCGATTGAGGAACCATATGCAATGGAATGCTTTTCAAGTCATAGAAGGCTGTCATTTCTCCTTCCCTTTTTAGTTCCCTTATGAGAACTTCATTGAAATTTTCCTCCTCCAGCTGGTTTCCTTCAGGTGCTGAAATAGACACATGACATGTTTAGGTGGTCTGTCATTAACTGAGAGAATCCATTGCAGCATCATTGTCTCACCAAATATTTGGATTCTATGGATATGCATTTCCTGGGTTCCAATGTGTAGAGCAATTTCATGCTTTTCAAGGGTGAATGATGTATGAGATTCCTTTGATTGGCTCCTTGCAGCTAGAAAACCATCCACACAATTTTGGACTTGAAAATGCTTTTATTTTATTGAGCTTGAGGATTTTCTCACCAGTGACAGCTGAAGTGGTTCCCAGCAGATGCCATTCTACAGCTGCATCTCTAGGAAGTTGTTTGACCACAATGTATAACAATTGTCCAGGGGGAGCCTTTCCAGGCCATGTTTGCTTCACGGCCTCAATGTCACTTTCATTGGCAACATAGCATGTTCCCTGAAAAGCATGGGACTAAGTTGAAGCTTCTCCTCAAAGGAGAGCTAAACATTTTATGATGAGACTAACCCAAATCACTTGATCCAGGGGTTCTGGTTCACAGAGCTTGCCATGACAGAGGACTTCAATGACTCTGGACACATGTCTTAGTGCCAATTTGCTCTGTGTCTCAGCTCCTCCTCTCACTAATTCCATGCTACCAGGTACAAGTCCTATCTGCCCAGAGAGATGTATCACTGGTTCCACCTGCAAAAAAAATATATTGGATGGAAATAACTGTGCTGATGCATGAAGAAGAATCTGAAGTATTTGCTGACAATTTTTGCTTGACTGTATGGCCCAATATTAGCAGGTGCCCAATGTGAAATGGCTTGAACATGAAGATGAGAAGAAGGTTGATGACAACATGTGAAAGTCAAGATGCCTTCGAGACGCCTAGGCAATGGCACGGCCACACATGCCCTTGCTGGTGGGGCTATTTGGAAGTGGGTCTTGTAAATATCATTCCAATCTGCATACAAGCTCATGTCTTTGATATACATACACACTGACACTACCTCCATTCCCCGTTCCTTGACATGATCTGTGGAAGAAAAATCAGATCACTTGACTGACATTTTAAGATCAGACCCACCTAATAATGTAATCACCTCTGACAGCTGAGAGTGCACTTTCAATGGGGAACTCTGAAGTGACGCAAGCAATCGGAAAATTTTCTGTCCCTCCTATTTTGGGGGAATGCTGGAAAATAGTCTGTTCATCCAAGTCCTTGTTCGCTGTCTTAGGCTTCAATGATGAACTTGTTTGAAGGAGAGTATCAAGGAAATCATCCGGCCTTGGCACCTTAAGGTGAGTTTGGATATCGGTTCTTTTCTCTTCCAACGAGAGATGGTTCAGGCGAAGGTATGCAACTGGAGCAAAGGCGTCGTCAGAATGCATCACCACTTCGTGAGAATCTCTGATAGCGTGAGAAGAGAAATGCGAGATATCATGTCTCCGAAGGATGGTGGGGGGGAGGAGCGGAAATGGATTGGAAGGTTTGTTTCCCCTCACATTCGAATGGATTTTTTGAACAACGGGCAATCTAGGGTGAAAGTCTCGTACTCCCCGCCCTCCCCACATACGTTTACGCCGTATTTCTCCTTCTGCCACCGAAAGATCATAGTAAAATGAATCTTTTTAGATTCCAAGAATTTGCTCCTGGAGCTAAGAGAGAAAAAAAACGAGCTATATGAGTGTAAGACCAATCGCAGGAGATGAGGTTGGACTTGACTGAGTTCTTTTCCGAGGTGTTCCTCAGACAAGCCAAGGCAGGCCACTTTGATGATCACAGCTTTCAGTCCCGAAGTAATCATCTCTTCGAGCAGTGCCTCTTGGTCTCTTTGCCACAGGTAACTCAGCACTTTCAATCCCAGCCGGTCACACCTACAAGGAGGCAAGCATTTTGAGAATTATTGGGAGTTCGACCCGTTGATAAGGCTACCCGTAGAATATGAGCCTCTTTATCTGGTGTGCTTCGATTGAGTAGCTGCCAATAGCTGTAGTGGTGAGAAAAGAAAAGGAAGGTTACCTACTTAAAGTATTTTTCACTTCAGACAACTTTTCATTTGACTTGGACACTCATGCATGGGATTTTCCTCAGGCATGAGTGTCAGCAAAGTCTGCTAAAAAAAAAAATAATAAATTATTTTTCTAACTCAAGATTTTGACTTCATCATTGAACACTTCTAAAGTAGCACAGTTACAGTACTAAACCAATCACTGGGATGAGGAAGAAAAAGGGCTTACACGTCCTCGACGCGGACCCTCTGGTAGTTGGAGAGAATGGCTCCACAGGCCACTAGGCAGGCCACTTTGATGATCACAGCTTTCAGTCCCGAAGTAATCATCTCTTCGAGCAGTGCCTCTTGGTCTCTTTGCCACAGGTAACTCAGCACTTTCAATCCCAGCCGGTCACACCTACAAGGAGGGAAGCATTTTGAGAATTATTTCCGAGTTCGACCCGTTGATAAGGCTACCCGCAGAATATGAGCCTCTTTATCTGGTGTGCTTCGATTGAATAGCTGCCAATAGCTGTAGTGGTGAGGGAAAAAAAGGAAGGTTACCTACTTAAAGTATTTTTCACTTCAGTCAGACAACTTTTCATTTGACTTGGACACTCGTGCATGGGATTTTCCTCAGGCATGAGTGTCAGCAAAGTCTGCTAAAAAAAAATAATAATAATAAGAAATTATTTTTCTAACTCAAGATTTTGACTTCACCATTGAACACTTCTAAAGTAGCACAGTTACAGTACTAAACCAATCACTGGGATGAGGAAGAAAAAGGGCTTACACGTCCTCGACGCGGACCCTCTGGTAGTTGGAGAGAATGGCTCCACAGGCCACTGCCTCCACGCCGCCTTCCTTTTCCTGTCAGGAAAAAAACGGCCTTAGCGCGTGCAGAACGAGAGGAAATTGAATAAACAAGGTCACCTTGACTGATAGTAGGAGGCGATAGAGGTCCTCGACTTCATCGCCTGTGGTTTCCGTATAGTGTTCCGTAGTTTGGATCCCCGTGCCTTGCAATTTTCCCCGGTACAAAGGTAGGGCCATGGCGTCGGCATACAGGCTCACTCCTTCGCTTCCCACCGTCTGGTACATCCAACTATCCTCTTCTCCTGCATCGTATGGATCCGACAAATCCACACGTCGAGAATCTGACTTGTTCTATTTATGTGGTTTTCAACAAGACACCCGCAAACATAGCCCGTCGAGGACGAAGCAGATGTCTCGGGAAATCGATAATTCTCTTGCCTAGCATCCAGTTTACGTAGTTCCCGCAAATTGACTCGGCTTTTTCGTCGAACCCGTTAGATATAGCATTATGTTGTATGTATATAGATAGCGATAAAGTCCGTGCAATAGGAAAACAGAGATTGACGTCGGCTCCGAGAAGGCAGCACTTTCTGCTCCGTGCATTCAGTGCCGCTTCATATGCAATTCCATTGTCGGCGATTGTTGGAACTAGGGGAAAGAGAGGAAAAAGCATTCTCCTTTTAACACGGGATACCCCCCCGCATCTCGGCAGACCCATCTCGGCTCCCCACAGGGCCTGCTGCACGGCTGCGAGGCGTTAAAGCCGCTTCGAGCTTACATCATTTCGGTGCACTTACGAGTTATGACTTGCCAACTCGGCCAGTGAGTGAAATCTTTCGTCACGGTTCACTAGGGTTTTCCCTGTACATGCCCGGCTTTAGCGCTTCCTTCGCTGTAATGGCAAGTTTAGCTATCTTTTTGGCCTTCCACGCAATTCAACGAAACGCCCGAAGACGTACGTATGATTTGCAGGAGGCCAAAACGGGGTTACTCAGCCGTGCTATTCCTCGTACGTTTTTTTGTCTTCGACTGGAGAGCCTTTCCCTATCACTTAGGCCTACTTCTCACACGGCGAATGGCACTCATCGGGTGCGTGGTGCAAGCGCCATAGGTCGTATTGGACACGTGCGTTAGACGAAATGAAAGGCCCAGACCTTGTCGCTCGGGTTCCAAGTTTGCGAGGGCGATGATTTCGTGCCCCGCGGCGACGCATTGCATCAAATTGTAGCAACTGTCTTTCCCTCCGCTGATCAGACCCACGACCTTCATCGTTCACCTGGAATAAGGAAAGAAAAAAAAAAACAGGTTCTGGCGACGGGAGAAGGGAACCAACAATTGACAATAGGTTATCTTTCCCCCCCTACGTTGCCCTATCGTCAAGGAGCAAACCGACGCCGGACCGCTCCATCGCCTTATTCATGATGTATCTGACCAGGAGCACCTTCAAGGGATTCCTCATCGGTGAGTCCAGTTATATTTTCCTTTCAATCCGATTTTTAAAATGCATTTTGAAAACGAAATCCCCCCATGCGCAGGGTTTTTTTATCGATTCCTGCACTCGCTTCCGAGTCAGAAAGATGAAAATGATCTGCATCTGGTTATGATTGACCCTCACGATCGGATTCGAACTCGATTCTTGCCTTTTTCACCCTGCATCCGATGAATTTCCACGGAAAGTGCTAATTCAGCTGCACGTGTCACACCAGAGGGTTTGGACGAACCGAGGGAAGGGGAAAATGAATTAGTTGATTCCCAGCCGATGACGTCAGCTAGGTGACGCGAAGTGGCTCAGAAATCCCGTTTCGTTCTGTCAGGATTCCTTTGTTTCCTGGACCTCGAATTTGGTTAAAAGTCTTAAGTTTGATACCTTAGCGCCTCAGAACACAGTAAACATTGGTAACGTCCAGATTTCCGGAATGAGAACGGAGGAAACAGGTTGTGTGAGGCTCAGCATTTTCGTCTGAAGCGTCTACCATACTCCCTCCGCTTACATCGACAAGCGGCTCGCAATAATCGCTCGATACAACCTTAATTCGAACCAGTTCTTGATACTGTGCCCATCCAGTCATTGGATATCGACTTCTACTCCGTTGAAAGTAGAAGATTCCAACGTTATCCCATAAATCGAATCGAAGCCCTTGGGACTATGTTTCGCGAAGGAGACGAGACACAGGGTGGCCCGCAACCGCGGCACTTGAAGTCTATGGCAGGCAGGATCTGCTAACCTGCCTGGTTTTCTACTTCACTCTCCTGTTGAACTTGACTATCTCGTGTCCCATCTCATCGTCGCCGACATCCGAGGAGCAACTCTCCTCATGTTGATACCTATGGAGCGGAACTCCGAGCATTCGCGTTTGATTCGCAAGCCCAACATTGTTCCGACCAGCAATGGGCATCTCACCCAAGCGCCGACTGCGAGCAGCGATGGTGAATTGAATCAAAATCATCAATTTTTCATGCCATCATCATATTTCATGAATGATGCACGTTACTCTTAAGTAACATCGCTCGTAGAAGGCGGATTCGACGGTTGTCTGTCAGTTCGACCTATGCCTGATGTAACGTTAGGCTTAGGCCTATGATCTAACGGTTGCGCAGGGCTACCATAGGTTAAAAAAGGTATCTTGTGTACCGAGGCTTAACTACTGGAATTCCACCTGGTAATGTCGGTTCTAACGGTTTATATGATAGCAAAGTATATTAAGTATCGAAGTACCAGTAGCACTTGAGTCTGTAAAGACTTGGCGGTAGGCCTACCGTTGATATGGGGCTTAGGGGCATACCTATGGTGGACGCGGTTTCCGCTTCTCTCGAGGACGTTGACGCCATCTGTCGGTACTGCGATCTTTATCTTGAATATCATCGGTTTTTTTTTTATAAAAGGGGCTGCCAGTGGCTTAGTCAGCAAAATACCCTTGATCACATGTTAAAGCACTAGGGACTTGTATTATTTGAGTCAGCAGCAAATGGACATATCCATATAGGCCTTCTCTGGCATGCAAATGTTTGTAGTAATGGATAGTTGTATTGTAAAGAAGATCTTGGGTTTTTCTTTTTCTTTCAATTTGTATATGATTGTAACTCCTTTTTGTAATAGTGATATTTCTTGCAGCCTTAGTAACTGTCATTTGATATTTAATCATTCCTTCTTTAACTAATATGTATTTTTTGTGATGTGGGATGTTTCTTGCAGATGGACATCGAGGGGGTATGCGTGTTGGACGGGATTATCAAGCAGTTGTCCCACCAATAATTCAGGCCAATGGTTTGTAATTACTTTCCCTGGTATTTTATATTTTCTCAGTCCTTCATATACTGTGATTCATACATCTATTGTGTGCAGAGAGGAAAGCAAGGTTAGAAGCCTCTGGGGAAAGAGCACTCCTTGTATGGTCACCCACAACTACTGTTTCAGATGCAGAGTGTGAGTTTGATTGTCAAATGAATTTCCCAAATTGATAATAAGTTTTAATGCTTTGTTAGTAGAAGTTCATGTTGATCTGAAACTGATATATTAATTTTTGTTTTTTTGTTTTAGTGGATCGATACATAGCCTTGGCGAAGGAAAAGTATGGGTATAATCCAGAGCAGGCTCTGGGCATGCTCTTCTGGCACAGATATGATCTTAAAGCAGCTGAGGGGGAGCTCCCCAACTTCACACCCTTCCCTGATGAATGGAGCAAGGAGGACCGAGCTCTCTTTGAGCAAGCTTTTGCCTTCCACGGCAAAAGCTTCAATAAGATCCGACAGATGGTGAGATTTTCTGTTCTCTTCACTAGATGAACTCATGTGACAGAACAGGCAAGTAGCAATTTTTGTGTCTTTTTGATCAATGCAGTTACCTGAAAAGTCCATGGCAAGTCTGGTGAAACATTACTACCTTTGGAAGAAATCAAGAGATCGTGTGAGCTTCATTGATCGTCAAGTGAAGAGACTCTCCTGTAACCCAAAAGAGGAAGGAGATTTTCATTCAGATGATGATTCCAGCGGAAGTGAAGGGAGTGGCCGAGAAGGGGTAGGAACCATCCTTTTGAAAAATTTTGGTTATTAATTAGTAAACCTTCACCTTAGCTTTATTCATCATGGATAGGCCCATATTTCTGTCTCCACATCTGGCAAAGGAAATATGAAATTTTGAAATGGAATGACTTCCAAGACCATCATGGATGTCATCATATTCCTCAGTTCCATTCCATCAATATTCAGATTTTTTTTGACACCTCATGAATACTGACATTGACAGGAAATACTTACACACCCTGTGCAGGATCCATTACAGGGAAATTTAGAATTGATTGAATGGAAATAACTTTCAGTCAATTAAAACTGATGGAATATCATGATCACATTGGCTGGTAAAAAAAAAAATTACATCTATATCGTGGTTATCTATGCTTACAATGAATTGGTTATGAGCTGCAGTCACATTTCCTGAGTTTAGCAGCAGCATCACACTATTGAAGGATAATGCGTATATCAGGTGGTACCAGGCCTGTTCAATGAAGTCATTTCTATGAGATTCTCTTTTATTCCTTGAAGAAATGGGGTCTGCACAGGGGGATCCGTCGAGGGGCCCAAGGAACTGCCCCTACATCCTCCTTAGCAGTGTTGGATGAGGTAGGCCCCTGTCCACCTCATTGTTGTATGCCTCCCATTCTATTTGCACAGTCCTCTCTGTTTCATTTGAGCCATTCTCCTTGCTTCTGCTTTGTTGTTCGTCATCTCGTGTGCGCTTAGCCAGTTGCATGCCATGTAATTGCTTTGTTGGTTTTCTTTGTGCACCACTTACAATCATCAGCTCTCAATCTCTATTTTTAGTATCTGGTGGTGGGTCTCACATGTCCCACAGCTTGCTCAGTCTTGCACCTCTTGAAACGCAGATGAGGTTTGGTTCAGCTTTCTTTGGTTTTATGGTGATGTTTAGGGAAGGCTGGTTGCCCTCAGTGCAATTTCTTACCCATTGGGTATAGTAGGCTGACTGTATTACTTACAGATGCCTCTGCCTATTTTTTCAGATATCTGATAGTTTTTGTTTTGAGAAGCCTAGATTTCCTCTGGTTTCTCACTGGTACAAAAATTGGCATCAAGTGAATTTTGAATCATGCCTGTTGGAGGATTCTTTCTCTGTAGGGAGCCTATTGCTGCCATGTATGTACTCGTATCATCATTCCTTACATGGTTTCCATCTGAGGTTTTAGTCAAATTTGAGAGTGTTACCTTGAGGTTTTTTCTGTGCCTCTTCCTTGTATGGTTGGGATTGGAAGCATTCCCCTGCTGGATAGACATCCTGTGTCAAAGGAAAGGTCTCCATATTTCAGGCTAACTTCCATTCTGTGCAGCATATTTCCTTGAACATTAGAATTGTATTTCTGTACCTGATGCTGTTGAACTTGGAGAATCCATAGATACATCAGGCATAGTCTCATCTTGGCATTTGTTGTTTGCAGCCTGTTTTAGACTCTGCTTACCTTCCAAGGCTTACTCGTGATCTGTTGAACTAGTCCTTTTATTAAGCTGGCTGTGTCTACCTGTTTTATCATGAACCAGTTGTCATTGGCTTGGGAAAAGGAGAAGTTTCTCCATTCTCTGGTGTCACTTGGAGGGAAATGTATTTTTTGCCTCTTACAATTACTAGGCTGTTGTTTTTGGCATTTTTCAAACTTCTTTTCATCTTTTGCAGTTCTAACTGGTATTGTGCTGCAAGTTTCTGAAATTGGCTGTTACACTTTTCTTAAATCTCCTTGGAAATATTCATTGTGGTTACTAATTATCAGTAACTTCACAACTCAGGAAAGCTTTTTGGTGGTGGTCATCGCTTGGTTGCATTCTATTCAACATGTTTGTTTATGCTTTTGCAGCTGGGGCTTCTCAATTTCCATAGCATGAGCTTCATCCATAAGAATTATTGTGTGAACTGATTCCAATGCAGTATAATTTTTGTACTGTGCTACAATGATGCCAATCATCTCTCATCTTACAGTAGGATATGATACAATAGTCATAAGGCACAAGAAACAAGAGGCTCAAGTCCCACAAGTGTGCTTTCACTCAAGAATCCCAGCTAACCCCCCACCCACTCCACTATCTGTATCCCTCCTTCATCTAACCTCTTTTAAAACCCAAGTAACTTCCAACCTTTAGCAGAGTAAATATGGCCCAAGTGGTTATTCCTGGGGGATACACTACATCATGCTCAGGGGTCACTTTTCCCATATACACCATGGCTTGCACTAAGATTAAATGCTAGACTTGGTTTGTTCTGTTCCCAGACTTCCTCTCAAGGTAGCCAAGCTGGCTGCCAACTAGATCAAGGGCTATATGCTGCTTAATTTCTGCCTAATGTGTGAAGGATTACTCAAGTTTAATCTGGAACATCTTTCCTTGGTTGGGATGCACTGGTTTGTGTTTTGCCTGAATCACCCTATCCAGGTGGCAATTCTTCATTTAGGCCTAGGCCTTTATAAGCACTACATGAATTGCAGTTGAGGGCTCTTTGCTTTTCATGCACAGAAGTGACAGCTGGGAATTTGAAGTGAGCATGAATAATGGAATTTAAAATTGCAAGCCACAAAAATTTTTGCTATTGTAAAATGTAAGATTCCCTTATAGCATGAGTTCCAAAAAACTCGTTTTCAAAGACATGCACCTTGAATGTGATTTATCAACTAAGACATTAACCCTTTCAGACCTGAATTAAGGCTGCTATCAGAATAATATCCATTTTTGCATTTTTGAGCTATTTTGTGATTGTAATTGACATTTTCACGCTTTATATGTAGATCACATATTTTGTATAAATTTACCATATCATGCCATATATTATATATTATACATTTAATTAATTAACTGAAGATTACAAAACTAATGGGTGAAAGAAGGCATCTGATGGAACTGAGCCATGCATAATTGCGCCCATTGTAGCATAATATGGAGTGCAAAGTCACAAGAATCCTAAGAAATTGCCATAGACACAATGTAAATGCAATGTCCATTGGAATGGATGCCAGGTCTGAAAGGGTTAAGATAGCTGATTTTTTAAAACTTAAATTGCCAAATCCTATGGTCTATGAACAGAAAATCAGCTTAGTCTGTACAATGGCAAAATCAGCTAATAAACATGTTACTGATTCTCTGCCTGTGCATTGACACTAGGGATGGGTTGATCTATTGACCAGGTCAATTTACTACCTTTTAATTGACTATTATAAATAGCTCTTTTTATTTTATTCAGTGAATTAAGAAATTTTTATTGAACTTATAACTGTAGTCATTTATCCTCCAGCACTAAAACCAAAGAGCCAGTTCCATTTTAAAGTTATATTCATGCAGCCCACCAAATATCTGGACTGTGGCACCCACTGGGCATGAAGATGTTATAGCATATGCTCAAACTACCGGGACCTCTCACCTGAGTTTTGTAGATTGTGTTCTATCCATAACCTGCTGTTCAAGGTCTTCCAGTCTTAATGACTTTGAAAGTTAAGGTTCAAGATCTAAGTTACAGCTTTATAATTTCAGTTTAATGCAAGGTTTTCATGGTCCTGGCCAATTGTCTACACCAGAGTATCAAATCATTCTCAGAGTCTGTGATCAAGGGACAAGTACTTGGATTATGCTGAGGCCTTTGCCTAAAAAAGAAATTGATCTAGCTAGCTAGCTATGAAAAACTTCCTTGAGCAAGGCTGAGGCTATTTTGTCTGGCAGGAACAGGAATAAATGTTAATACCAGAAGACATGAAATTCAACTTCTGGAAACTGTTTGCATTCCTCATTATTCAGAGTACTTATGGAGCTACCTAGTCACAGAATTTACCTCTAAAACATGACTGGTTACCATGTAATATTCCAACTCATGCAATCTATATGGCAAGGTCTATCTTAGTGATGAGATGTTGACTGGTCAACTTGGTTATTTATGGTCATATACAGTCATAAGGCCTCACCTCTCGTTGGGATGGTTGACCATTTAATGTCCATAAGTGGTCAGAAGTGACCATGTTAACCAGTCCTTCCCATGCCATGTCTGTCACTATTGAGTTATGACATTAAAAAAATATGAGTTATGACATTTCCTTTTTCCTGCACAAACTGCAGGAAAAAGGAAAATAAAAGTTGGCCTTATTGACCAAAGTTGACAATATTGACCCTTCAATTGACATGTTTTTATTTGACCATTCAATAACCCATCCATAACTGACACATAACGACTCTTCACAATTCATGGAGATTATTTACTGGTATATAGAGAGACCATAAAAGGAATATCCTTACCCAAAATTTAAAATAGCTTGGTTTTAGCTGCTGTTGTCTGTAGTGTGAGTTCAATTCAGGCTATAAGTTTTCTCATGATGAAATCTTTGTTAGGAAAAATGATAGAGATAGAGTAATTTCTGAGCTATTTAGGAATCAGTCCAAATTCCCATACTCTGTGCTTCTGAAACTTAGTGATTCTTGTAATTCTTGAAACTTTTTTACATGCTTGGCTCCTAGTATCTGTCTAGAGTATCTTATCTTCTCCTTCCTTTCATGAAAGGATTTGAAAGTTCATGTTTCTTTTTTGTGCCATAATTCTGAAAATTTATCCTCCTCAATCAGCAGGTAAAATTGAAGCCAAGCATCTCAAAAAGCTGCAACATGGTTAGGTGATTTCTCTTATGCCTAAATTTAGATTGGAGCATAAGTTTTGTCTCATTATTCCTATGTTTCCACAAGCTAAGGTAAAAAAAAAAAAATGCATAGAGTAGGGTAGGATGGAAGAAATCCCTTTCCTATATCTGATCCATACCTCACATTGTCCTCACTCACTGAGCTGTAAAACACGAGCACAGTATTCATTTTGATAAATTAAGTTTGCTTGGAAGCATGCAGGGCTCTTGAAGTTTTATTTCTCAGCTTTTTGTGCCATCCTGTCTGTATGTTAAGCTTTCTGCCAGTCATCATGGAGGGATCAATACACAGGTTTTTTTTTTTTACCACCATGGAAGCTGCCCATCAAATGAACTTCTTTCTCAGCAGGAGGGAGATGAGAGCAAGAATTCTTGTACCAATTGTGGAGTCACTTGCAATCAAGTAAACTCTTCCCCTAAAGGCAATCTATGTGGCACTTGCTTCACATATTGGAAGTAAGTTAATTTTTGCAGTACCTGCTAAATTGTGGAGCATTTTTCATTTCTGGATGAATCTTTCTCTCACATGATTTAACACAGGCAAAAGGGAGATCTTCGTCCGACAGTCAGCTCCCATCGCTTTCGCTCATCCACTTCAGGCCACAAACATGACAAGTCACAAGGCCGTCCATATCGCCTCCCTCGTGGCATGCACATCAATCATGACGACTTGATTTCCATTGCTGTAGGAGTCCCTAATAAAGGGGATGCCATCCTGAAGCACATGAGTGATGAAATTACTACATACAAGCGAAAGGTGAATGATGTAACATTTTTGTTACATAATATCAGCCTTCCTGAGACCCTGATATTCATATGGTGTTGGATTTACCTCCTCAGAGAGAGGTTCCTATGTTTCAGGTTCAAGGCAACAAGCAGATTTTGAGCAGCATGAAGACAAAGTTGTTACAGCAGCAACAGACCTTAAAGACACTTGAAGATAGTTTTGAAAAGGTCTCCTCTAAGTGGACAAATGAAGATATGGCAGTCCTAGTCAAAGGTACTTCTGTTTTACTCTCATTAAGCCCATGTTGGAATAAACTGGATCGATATACTGCTATTTGGAAAAACAGGCAAGAAAAACCTTCTATAGCCTTAATTTTGAATTCTCAGCAGTTTCATTATCTTTTCCTTATTGCTATCTTGAAAGCATTTGCAGCATTCATAGCCAGTTTGACAAAGAGTATGCAATTTTTTACTTGTAAATAGCTCCTCGCAATCAATAGCATACAAAAAGTTTAACTTTTGAACCTCAATACCACCCTTAAAAGATCTCCTCTAAATTAATTAGGAGACTGAAATATGACATTCTTTCAGAATCTTCAAAATATATGGACACTTATAAACACTAAATGTAAATTATTGCAATTGAAAAAGAAGTTTCCCTGTGCACTTCCATTTTGACAGAATTTAATTTAAGTGAGTTTTTTTTTATGAGGTTGAAGGTTTTGTTTTCTGCAGGTATAGAAATGTTTGGGTGTGACTTCAAGAAGCTGGCAGATCTCCTTGGGAATAAGACCGAGGTCATGGTGCGTAGTGTTTATGGCAATTGCAAGAAGGAACCTTACATTGAAGCTGCTCTCCAAACCTTCAATGCCAAGAACAGTGAAACTGCCAACAATCATGTGGTAGGGCCCTTATAGTCATCTGGATTGCTACTTTCGTTTTGGAAAAAAAAAAAATTCCTGTTTCATTTTTAGACTGAGACAAGAAAGGAAGTGGTGGAGCTGTCAGGGAAAGCTTCAAATCATGAAGCCATGCAAAGTGCTTGATGTTGCCCTTTTGAGTATACAAGGCATTGAACTCATGACCCTCATTTCCAGCTTTCTTTGTGTTAAGATGCATGTATGAGAAGTGGAATTCCCCTGGCATAGGCCTATCCCATCTGTCTACCTCTGAGGTGTCTGACGTGAAATTCATCTTCTCCGGTGCTTGTCATTTAATTATTCCCATGCCAGTATTTGTGTAGATGTCACAGCTCATCTTTTCATATCCCCACGACCAATGCACATCTATCTCATTGCATTGTGTTGAGTTGAATATTAATGAAGAATGATGTATAGCTTTTGAGAAGAAATATTGTCTCATCTTCAGGATGTGCTTTTTTTTTTTTTTTTTTTTTTTAGGTATCCACATGGCTCTAAGACAATGTCTTTGTTAGTCTTGTTTGACATTCCTGCCCAATTCATATTGCAGGTCAAACAGGATTGTTGACGAGGATCACATCCATACATGGTCTTCATGAAACTGAGAGAATCCCTAAAATTGTGAGATTGAAGAATAAAAGTTTGTCTGTTGTATTTTCTCTTGATGCAGAATGTGAAAAGAATTTCATGCTGCAGGAATTCAGCATAGGTCCTATGACTTCATGGAGTCAGTGGGGACTCTTCAGAGTCTAATACCTAGAAATGTAATAGGTGGTGTTCTGGTTTTGAAAAATTAATATGAGTGTAATGTAAATGAGTTCTCATCATTTTGTGCCAGAATACTGCTGAAACTTGATAACATTTTGGTGGCTGTGTAAAGCCATCTCTGTGAAGTGGAACCTCTTTGGACCATGTCTTCCACAACTGGAACAACAGAACCCTCAAACCTGCATATGGTGAGGTCAATAAGTAATTCTACTCCAAGGCATTCTGTTAATAAACCTCCATCCTTGAAGGCCTCTCACTTCTACATAATGTTGCAATTTTGTCATAATAGGATGGTGTGAGGATGTCCTTGCCAATGTCAGCCATGATTGGACCCAGCTCGTTGTCTTTTGGGCATTTCCCTCCCTTCCCAGTAAGGAGAACCCCACCTTTACCAGGAGAAACACCAGCTGAGCGGATTAGACGCATGAATCGTGAAAGGCAGCGTCGGTACCGTGAACGCCGATTGGCTGCTGTCCAGGAATTGAGATCCTTGGCCCCCCAAGTGTCTGGGTCTGTGAACCCATCCTTCCACTTCCCACCACCTGCTGTGTCGACCACAAGCGTGCTGGCATATGCACGACCTAGACTCACAATTCCTCTTCTTGGAAGTGGACCTTGTCACAGAAATAAGAATCAAAATGAAGAAAGGCAGAGAAGGCACAGTGATCGATCATCATCAGCATCAGACCTCGCCTCTGAATCTTCAAATCCTGCCCATCATCATCCACCACATCACCTGCTGGACAATGAGGATGGGAACTGTGATGGGTGGGAGGCAATGTTGGTGAAGACTGAGATGGGAGAAGAAGAGATGGAAGGTGTCCAAATGAAGTCTGAAAAACAACAAATATTGTCAGTTCCTTGTGGATTAGAAGTAAAGCCAATTGACTGCAGCATGGCATCTAGAAACAGTGGAGAAAGGAGTGAAGGCACAAGTGAAGAAGAGCATTTGATGATGTCCCCTCCAAGGCTTCCTAGACTTGCATTTACAGCCATGGCACACCATCACCCATCCATCGATTTGACTTGGGAAGAATTGCTTGGAGGAAACAAAGTCACTAAACCACAGGAGACACGCCGACCTGTTGTGGATCGCTTGCTAGACTTTTCTCGTGTCAATTGGGGTCCTGTTCGTACCCTTACCCAAGTTGAAGGTGATTCTATGTGCACAGAGTCCATTCAGGGTGGCCTGGATCCTGACCGGCGGGTGTGGAAATATGTTCGACATCTCCATGGTCGTGTGCTGGAGACTAGATATTATATCCGACATCGAGATGACATTGATCGAGACCATGTCTGTCTCTGTGCATTTGACCTCAGCCTGGATGGAGATGAAGAGCTTTGGATTTATGTTGACTCCACACGAGATCCACCCTCCAAGTCTGGATCCACATTGTCAAAGGTAGAAAGATTGATTTATATCATATCAATTGATCACTTCATTCTTGTGTCAGGATTGGAAACCAGTATTTTTTTTATTACTTTCCTTACAGCATGAAGGTCCAGGAGGTTATGAGAATCAGCAGCCAGACTCATCTGAATCAATTGGGTAGTCCTATCCCAACCCTATATTGACTTGACATCCTTCTGGTTTACTCTCCTATATTTTGTTTTGTGCCCACGGGCACCCAGTGATTACAGTCCATGCAAAATGGGCGAAGATAAAGGCATTGGGCAATGCTGTGGAAGCTCCTGCACAGATGTTGCTCATTTTTCAATTGTGACAAGTAGTTTTTTATGCCTACCATGGTCCATTGTCCATGTTCTATGTCATTATAAGAGAAAATTGAAGTTTACTAAAAACCGATGAGTTGCATTTTTGCTTTTGAAGTGAAGTCCATTTAGAAACAAAGTATTGTTCCAATCGGAACTTTAGCTTGTCCTCACTGCAAATTAAAAGCAGATCAATTTGGGAGTTGCTGATACAGATGCAGTAACAGAACTCAACTGTATTATACTGCTTGGGGCCCGTAGGTCCTATGCATTCTCATTTTGATGACCCTTATGTAATCAGATGTGTTAGTTCAATTGTTAACAATTTGAAGTGCTCAGGTTTGTGCCATCAATAATCTTTTTAACATGAACAGCAAATGTATTCATACGTAAGATACATTTTCGAAACTGGTAACAACCCCAAGGTAATGGAGTGCGGTTCGAGCAGACCCAGGAGCATCACAGCGTTCACGATCCTGGACAACGGACTCGAGCCCGGCATACAAAGGGTCACATGCACCAGATCCATTTAACTTTAAACTTATTCTTTTTCATAATGGCCGTCTATAGGAATACGTATCTTGATTAAACTGATTCCCATAGGGAACCATTGTGAGATCAGATTAGTTTAGCTTGAACGGATTCGGTGCATGTCACCCAAAGTCACTCGTGGAATATATTCGCGATGAAGTCCATCTACCTTGCACGAGGCATGGTCGTTTGCAGTGGCGTAGCCAGGTTTTCATCAATGGGGAGGCTAATTGGGGGCAAAGCGGAACGTTGGGGGGGCTTGAACCAAACTTGGGGAGCTGAAGCCCCCCCTCGCTAGGCCACCGGTCGTTTGCCGGTCATTTTAGATTAGAAGACTCTGGAAGCCTCGAGAGAGGCATGCGGGAGATGCGTCCAAACCAACGGGCTTGGGATCTCTCGATTTAATTGCGTCGCCGCTCAACCTGAAGATTCTCACGGATGGCGGCACACAGCATCCTCTTCCTCGTCGCAACACCTGCCACCCAGTGGCGTAACTAGAGAATTTGCCGCCCGGGGCGAGTGACTGTTACTGCCGCCCCCATACTCCAGACCCCCCCTTTGCTAATTGTTATTTTCACATGCACACACGTTTTACTGGATAATGAGATTTATTAAATATTTCTGTTATTCAGGACTGATTCTCAGCACAAATAATGTAATCAAAATCAATTCTTACAAACAAACGACTGCAATCAAAATACAGCTCTTCTTGATTTACTGGCTGCAAAATCTTTAATAACTTCGCTGAAATCAATGGAAGAAGCAACTTGATGTTCGATTGACAGGATAGCAAGATTTGTAAGT